GCTTGGCGCCCCTGTGCCTCTTGAGTGGTGTCGACTCCTTTGACACTGCTCCTCCTCCTCATGACCTGGTGTCGACTCCCTCGACACTGCTCCTCCTCCTCATGACCTGGTGTTGACTCCCTCGACACTGCTCCTCTTCCTCAGGACCTGCTTGCCAGTGTCCTATGACTCTTGTCCCTCGAGCCCCTGAGTGGTAACCATCTGAGCTTGGTCCTCTTCATGGCTGTGCCTGCTCCTTGAGCTTGGTCCTCCTCATGGCTGTGCCTGGCCCTCCTCGCATGTGGCTCGGTTCTCCTTTGCATGTGAGTCCATAGGAGTCCATGGTCTCCATGGAGACTGCACTACGACCATGCTCTCTACTGGTATCGACTAGATCTTCGATACCTGTGCTCCTTCCATATGAACCAGTGACCCTCCTGCTTCTTGAGCATCCAGGCCCATGACATCTCCCTCTCCTGACCAGTAACCATCTTTCCAACTCCTTATCTTGTGAATCCTGTGATTGCATGCTGAACTCTATTGTCAAGCTCCCTGGTCATGTGGTTGCCCCTGTTGCCAGTTCTATGTGGCAGTGAGCATGTTCCCCCTGAGTGGTAACCTTCCACTTGATCCTGAGCTCAGTCCTCTTCCCTCATGTGATCATTCCCATATACTTCCTTAACCTTCCAGTGTCAGGCCCCCCTCTTCCAATCCTCCATTACTTAGACTACCCATTCTGTGCCAATGGTTTCGGTTCACACATTTTGGTGAAACCTACTGGCTAGGCTTGTTCCAGTCAATCCTAATGAAATTAACTAAATCTTTATGTGGTGGTTGATCTCGCAGAGTGCACACACAACTAGCCCGATCAGATTGTCGTTGTCAGGGGTCGTGCACCTGAAACCTGATATCTGTAATAGAAACGCATCTATTACAGATCTTATCGAGATATGTGGTAAAAAGGCCGTTATTATTATTCTTGTCGAAATCTGTTGTAGAAGGCTTCTATGACTTCTCTCGCTGTTGGAACTCTACTCTCGCCCGAACCACAATTGTTGCGCATGGATTATTCATATGAATCCATTTCTTCCTGCACATCTATCCGGTCCTGTGACAGTCATCACCCGATGCTCGCTTTTCCTAGATTCTTTCTGCACAGGACCTTCTGCACAGACCCTGTGACAGGAACCATCGACATTAGCCTCAATGCGAACACAACAAATAGTGATTGAATGCTAACAGGCTGGGCCGACTCAGACTGGGCAGGGTTGCACAACTGCCATTGCTCAACCTCAGGATACATCTTTGCCATTAATGGTTTCACCTGCAGCTGGTCATTATGACTTCAACCAACAGTGGCAAACAGCTTGGTAGAAGCAGAGTACATTGCACTAGTGGCAGCTGCAAGGGAGATGTTGTGGACATCCATGTTCTTACAAGAATTAGACCAATTGCTCCCAAAAGTGTCAGCCATCCATGTAACTGCTGGAACCACAGTGCTACACTCACACAAAGGAAGCCTTACCTTCAATCCAACCACTCCAATACTGTATAGCAACTCCACAGGCACTTGTGTTATCACCATTGATCCACAGCACTTCAAGAGAACAAAGCACATCAACATCACACACTTCTTCTTGTGAGACAAAGTAGCTGATGGCTGTCTCACCATAGCTCCAGTACAGAGTAGTGAGAACCTCACTGATATACTGACTAAACCACTCACGGTGCCAATGCTCTTACACCTTCGACAGCTATTTGGTCTAATGATATTGAAGGGACATGCAGGATCGAGAGGGGGTGCTAAAAAGGACGATTCAGCACGACCCTGAAATCGATCGGGCAGAGAGTCACAGGGTCTGCACAGAAGGTCCTGCACAGAAAAGTTCTGGAAACAGACATTGGGTGTTGATGATCTGATTGGGCTGGTTGTGCATGGAATTTGCAGGATCAACCACAAAACAGGGGTCTTGATCAATCTCACTGGGATTAATCAGAACAAGCCTAGCCAGCATGTTTTGCCAAAAAACATGCTGACCAAGCCATCGGTACAGGACAGGTTGATTGTCACAATCAAGTAATAGGAGGATTGGAAGGAGGGGTCCCTGGCATTGGAAAAATAAGGAGCATATGGGAAGGCTGCAGGTGAGGAAGAGGACCCAGCCCAGTGTCATGCAGTAGGTTACCACTAAGGGGGATGTGCTCATTGCCATAGCACAGCCACAAGGGCGACCACATGATCAGGAAGCATGACAATAGTTTTTGGCTAAGCAACCAAGGGAGTCACAAGACCAGGGGCAAAAGGATGGCCACCAGTTAGGGGAGAGAGAGCTGTGTCAGAAGAGACCAGGGGCGATCCATAGGGGGGAAGAGCAGTGCCAACAAGGTTGACATGCATCACCAGGTGTAGGGAAGCATGAAGGCATGAGGGCAGTGTCAAATAGTTAGGCATACAGCCCATGCAGCAGGGAAGCAGCATGGAAGGAGCCAACACACAGCTCATGTAGAAGGGGAGTGGTGTTGGAAGAAGGTGAGGACTCCTTCTGAAGGAGCAGGAGGGGGTGTCGCAGACGACACCCAACAAACACATAAATACTCTCATTCACCATAAGCATGCAAGTGGATCCCAATCCACTCTACTCTTACTTAACTCATACCATTGCAATAGCATAGCTTTTGCAATGACATCTCATACATGTGTGTTGTATCACCATCAGATGTCAACTGTAGGTGGTGTTCCCCAACACCTGTGGTCCAGTTCATAACTGTAGGCAGTGTTCCTCAACACCTGCACTCCAGTTCATCACTGTAGGCAGTGTTGTTCAGCATCTGTGGTCCAGTCAGTTACTGTAGGTGGTGTTTAAACACCTGTGGTCCAGTACCTCCTGTCATCTGTAGGTGATATTCTTATTGTGGTCCAGACAATGACAAGAGCATCATCCACTATGAACACTTGTGCAGTAATAGGAGAGTTGTGTCTGATATCACTCTCACATCATTTTGTTATGAACATGCCACATAGCCTCTGAATGGAGTGTTCAAGGCAGTTAGCTGAAACCTACCAGAAACAAACTGTCTGGTTAATTTCAACAGAAACATACCAAATAGATTGAACTCAATTGATCTAACCAAAGTCAACAGGGAACACCCGATCTGGTTTCAGGCATGTGACCGCTTACACAGAGCAGATCCTGGCTGAAATCAAACAAAGTCAATCTCAGCTAAAACATCGGGCAGCACCAATAGGAGAGGGGAATCGGGTACAATGACATCCCACTCATTGTTACACATTGTCATTAGGTAGGATGCACTCACACTTGGGTATGTGCCACACATTTGTATATATACTTAGCAGGGAGCTCGAGGCTCCTGCCACATTTTTTTCTTTATGTCAATATAGTATAGTGTTTTTGCTCCTTAGCTCAAACACCGTATTGTGACTGATATCTCCTGATCATCGCCGTTGAGTGACTCCTTATTTCAACAGAACTACGTTAGCAGGTGACTGTCGGCCCTTGCCAAGGATTCTCTTGCCCGCCAACACTGTCTGTCATGCTGTGGGATGAAAACGGTTTCGCCAACATCACTCGCCCTTTTCTGGCCTTCCGAATCCTCTGCGCTTGATTCCAAATCGGGTTCGACGATTTCTACTCCGATCTACTATACTTACTCTGATGTGAAACTTTCATCCTCAAGTCCGAGTGACAGCCAAGCAAGGCGCTTGCAGGACAATTTTGCAGAAGAGGAATTCGACACTAAAATTCGAGTTTTTCCCTCTCTCTGCTCAGACCAGGCGAAGCACGAAACTTGTTCGATTTGGCAGAGCATACGTTTCAGCCAGAAAAGAACACGTCCAGATAAAGAAAGGGCGCGATGCGCGGAATCAAAAATAAATAAATCAGGAAATAAAAATCACCGCCTCCAGAGCAGAGAGAGGCGATGCGCTGGGGTTCCGGATCGTCGCCTAAAACGAACCCAAACCATCCCAAGCCAAGCCATGATGCATCCGACACCATTTTGCAGCAAAATCAAGCGAAAGCGCGATCCGTTTGATATTCTGCCGCGACGAAGCAAAAGGAAGCAGCAAGTCATTTCTCCGCCGCTGATCTTTCGCTCTGTTGATGCCTTTGATGCCCTCTGTCCTCGAGCCTCTGTGGCCAATCTGTTGCTCTCGTCGGTCTTTCCGCTCTCGTGTCAGTCTCCCCCACCGTCGGCTGAGTGACTTGCTGCTGCTGCTTTTGACTGCCAATCTACTGCCGCTTCTCATTCGTCCGTTTTGGCAGCTGCCGCCCAGCTGCATGCCCCCTTCTCTTCTCTTCCCTTTTAAACGCAATCGGACCGTCACTCCTTCCTTCACGCAACTCCTTTCGCTATCCACGATTTTGCTTCGCAGTCAAGTCGCCTGCCCCGACCCCATCCACGACGGGGACCGCTTCCTTTCACCGCGGTATCATCAAGGCGCTACCATCCTTCCTTCCGTCCTTCCTATACCCATCCGCAAGATCGCCGTTCGAGCTCGTCGCAAATTGGCCCTTTCCCATCACGGCAGCCGCTGAAGCCGACGAGCGACGTCTGCCATTCCCTGTTCACTTTCCTTCGTCTTGGTTTGCTTCGGTCCCTTCCCTTCCTCCCCACCGCTCCTGTCTCACGATTTCACGACAGTCCGAACACTACGCTTTCGCTCTCGCCTAGCCACGAGAATCGCGTAACGACGTGATCATCACTGGCGGCAGCGACAGTGACATCGACCTACGCAACGGCCCAACCTCGCCGCTCGCTGCCACACTACTCCTGGAACAGGTCTGTCGTCGCTAGTTTCAGCAACCTTGCAACTCTCTCACACGTCTCGCTCCCCCCCTCCCCCGTCTTCATGCTGTGGCATCGTCATCCTCGATCTCCTCCTCTCCACCAACTACGTCATTGCTTTCTTGCATCTGACCAGCTCGGTTGAAGCAGCATCTCACAACAGATCGGTACGCGCGACAGCCAAGCGCGGCTCGGCTGCCGCTGCGCTTGCAATCATGGAGGACCTCTCCGCCGATGACGATATCCTTTCGGATATCCTCCTCGATAACCTCGAGTTCGAGCCGGCCATCTCAACACATAAAATGAATCCCAATTACAGGGGTCAGCGATTCGACCGCAATGCCGTCAGCTTGATCGTCAGAAAACGTGTCGTCGAGCAAAAGGACATCACAGCCGCCATTGAAGATCTCGGCAAGCTCGGCATCATTCAGAAATATCTCGCCAACAAAACACAACGCCAAACCGCCAGCTTTGAAGCACATGCGCGACGCTACTTCGAAAGCTATCTGCCAGAGAGTGGCGTCGAATTTGCACTCACCACACGGTACAAGCGCGTCATGATCGAAAAGGCCGACAGAGTGCACGGCTCAGATCCAGAAGCATCGACGTCCGCAGTCAAGCTCGAAGACACGCCTGGCTCTCCAGGAAAGGACTTCGCAGAGGAAAGAGGTAAGGGGTGTGCCAAAGGGAGATCGTCCTTGGATCGCGCCGCCACCAGCATCGGTGCAGCACCAGCAGCTTCCGAAAAGGCCGATCTCTGCGTTTTGGCGATGCGGACTTTCAAGCCAGGCGATCTGATCAACTACTGCAAGGGCGGCTTGAAGGATCTCACCAAAAGCGAAGACGATGCACTACGCGAAGAGGCTACCGCCTCGCGCGAGAAGCGCAAGGACACCGAGTACAAGGGTGTTCTCGGCCCTGGGCGCGATTTCAGCGTCATCCGTTCCACGAGAAAAGGTTGCAGTCAGCTTCTGCTCGGTCCAGCGCGGTTCGTGAACCATGACTGCAACCCAAATACTGAATTCTATCGCATGGGTGCCACCATGGTCTTCAAAGTTATCCGACCGATCCATCCTAACGAAGAAATCACCACCTTCTACGGCGAAAATTACTTCGAGTGGGGCAATTCAGAGTGCATGTGTGCCACCTGCGAGTCCCGCGGCACAGGTGTCTTCTTTGATCCTTCCGTACCGCAACCGATGGAACAGGTCGAAAGCTCTGAGGGCACAGAGGTCAAACAGGAGGATTCATCCGGCGCGAATGACGCCAACGGACGTCGGCAATCACGGCGGTCCAGTCGACCGGCAGGTGCATCATCTGCGCTACCCTCCCCATCACCGACACCATCCTTAACGCCTTCACTATCGACATTACTGGGCGATGATGCTGCCGCGAAGGACAAGAAGTCGAAACGAGACTACCTTGCAGACCTCAAGCTTGCAGAGCACGGACCGTCAGACGACCGTTCAGATCCATGGGCTGAGGGCGCTGGGCCAAAGTGCCGATGTCTGACGTGTGGAGCTACATTCTGGGCGCTAGAAAAATGGTGGACTCCTGACGAGTGCCCACGTTGTGAGCGTCATTACAAGATCTTCAAAGCCGACTGGCCAGTTCGCGTGCCGACCGAGGGCTCCTTGGCGCGAAAAGCGGGCGGTGTCAAGCGCAAGACGAGTTCAGAGATGATCTCGGACCACCTTGCGAGCGCTTCTTCACCGGCGCGCAACGGCAAGGAAAGGTCCTTGACCCCAACAGATCACAAAGCCAACGTCACGCCAAAGTCACAGAAAAAGCCGCGACTCAGCAAAACGCCAAACAGCAGCGGCACGCCTGGCGGCAGCACAAAGACGCCCACTGCCGCCGCCGCAGCCACGAGCAAGGCGAATAAATCACTGTTGGCGTCTTCCTCAACACCCTCTACAACTTCTCCGAAGCCCCCAGGTCGATCCGGCAAAGTCGAAAAAGAGAAGAGCGTCAAGCAAGAAAGGCAGGACGAAGCTAGCGTCGCTCGGTCGCTTGCCATACCCACGGTCAAAAAGACCAGCACCATCGCTGCTCTCCCTACAGTGGTGCCCAAGCACGACGATTTTGGACTGGAGTCAGATGGCTCTGACCTCACGCCGGAGCCCGAGTCAGAAAATGGCGACGCAGTCAAGGCAGAGGATGATGACGAGGATGAGGACAAAGGACCTCGACCGGCTTCCGTCACCGCTCGTCCACATTCAGGACAGGCGGATAGATCGTCGTCCAGCACCAGCCCTGGGCCTCCGGGACCCAAGATGCTCGGCAAGAATGCAAAAACAGACGTATTGGCGCAGTACTGGGGAGCTGTCGAAGGCGATCGCAGGGCTCGCAGAAAGGCACCGGTCAACCCTGGGCCAACTCTGTTGGCTGCCAGACGGTCATCGCAGGACGTCACGAACAAGCCGTCGGAACGACGCTCCAGCTTCCGTGAGACCAGCACTGACGAACATGGTCTGACAAAACCGAAAAGACGCCTCGTAGCCGAGTCTGTCTCCGATGCTGAAGACGCAGTGCCTGCAGCAGTGCCTTCTCGCCCAGCCGCTTCAACTGTATCTAAGCATCGCAAGACTTCAAGCATGAGCGATGTCTCTCCTGCTCAGCTCCGAGCCAAGTCGGTGGTTAGACCGTCACCAGATCAGCAGACACCGTCTGCACCAGACAGCACTGCGTCGCCAACACATACGTCAAAGACCGCGCCGCCTGCACCAGCACCAGCACCAGCACCAGTCCAGAAATCCTCGGCTAGCAATTTGCCCGGTCTGGCCACATCGGGAGTCGAACGCACGTCAGAGTCTAACTTGGCGCTCTTCTGGTCGGCCGGTGTAGGAGGGACTAGAAACCGTCGACAAGCCCAGAGGGAGCCAGTGACGGTCTTGGCCCCCTCGGTACCATCGAAGCGTCAGAGGAACGCTTCCGAGTCGAGTCGCAGTCGCACACCAGAGGTCAAGAAATCTCGCGGCTCATCAAGGCCGCATACTGGTAACGGAGAAGATGAAGGCAGTGGCAGGGATGCAAGGGGACGTTCACGTTCGGCAGCGGCATCGGAGGACAGGAACGGTAGCTCCAAGGAGACGAGCCAGAGCAATAGTGACATTGACGATGACGACGTCCCTCCGGTGAAGCCATACATGTTCTCAGCGATCAGCAAGGTGCTCCAGTCCAATGGCAGCATGGATGTGAATGCAGGACACGAGGCAAAGGGTCCACTTCTCCCATCGGCACCGCTCTTCCGGCCGTCAGGCCTCATTCGGCCCGATCTTTCCGCCGCAGCCGCTCGTTCCAACTCTCCGCTTGCCGGACCGCCGCGTGGTTTGCCCGGTCAGCCCATGCGAAAGAACCTCCGGTGGGGAAGTGGCAAATCCTCAATCAGCCGGCACTTAGGTCCGAATGGGAGTCCCTTAAGCCGCCCTCCATCGAGTATCAACGGCAGTCCCGTCAGTGTCGCACCGCATCGAGCGGAAGAAGCCAAGCCCCAGATTCCGCGTGCTATAGCCCCAGCACAAGCCGAACATGGCGCTCCTCCGCCCCAAGGTGCTACACCCAGGCCTTCGACTGAGCGGGCCGATGCAGCGCCATTGGAGCTCAGCCTTCACCAACCTGCTACTGTCGAGCGCGATCCAAGCTATCCGGAGGCTCAGCCAACGGTCGCAGCGGCTCAGCCTGTGTTGGAGGTCAAGGTCGAAGCGAGCCCGCAGCCGAGTCCGCCTCCTCAGCCAGAACTAAAAGAAACAGCCGCTGCACCTGTTGCAACTGTTGCACCTGTAGTGTCAACGGCAACTGGGAATGGATCCTCATCGAACGGAGTTGCGCCTGAAAGCTTTCTGAGCGCAACAGTGGCCGAGAAGTCCTTTACACAAGTTCAGGATGTGGCTCCAACGAGATACTTGGTGGACGAAGCATCGAGTCCAGCCGCGGACTCATCAGACGCACAGCAAAGGCGTACGTCAGGTCGTGCTCGCAGGGCACCTGAAATGGCAGCTGGTCAGATCCCCTACAAGGGCAGTCTGGTCAAGCTCGCTGCTCAGAGGGCTAAAGAAGCCAAGGGCGGGCCACACGCGGGCGCGAGCCCCCTTGACTCTCCTAGATCCACCGGCACAGCTTCTCCAGATCCTCGTTTCCAGAGCCCGAAAGCAGCTCGTCGACTCTCCAGCGACATCTTGAGCAATGCCGACAGCAGCTCTGGACACGTTCATGCTCCTTTCGGCAACGGGAAACCCACCGGCTCCGGCGAACATACCGGCCCGGTAGCCGCCGAAGCGTCCAAGATCGGTCTCTTCGAAGACGTGGCCATGGGTGAAGCGGCTCGCAGACACAGCATAGGCGCAGCAACAGCGACAACGACCAACGCCACACCGATGGACGTTGATCAATGAACGCGACTCATTCCATCATTCCATCTTACCTATCTTATTCCGTCATCTTTATAAACTCTCTTGTATTTTTATATTCTCGAAGGACAAGCCTGCTCCTGTTGGAGATTACGATCCAGTGCGACGCTAAAGGATGACGCGGAGCCGATCTGATTGGAGATCAGGCAGAGCCGATCCGGTTAGATGACCGATCTGATCAGAGATCGAGCCGAGCCGATCTCAGCAGAGATCGGGTGCAACACAGTCCCGCTCGTTGTCATGGTAGATCATTAAGTAGGAGTATGTCAGCAGTCGCGTGCCTGGAACCCGAAATCTACTGGCTTGATTGATTTCAACCAGTTTCAGTGAGCACTCTTGAGTATGCACCTGTTGGCCACTTTCACTGAGACTGCTCGAAGGGTTGTTTGTTTAATGAGTTTCAGCTAACTGCTGTGAACACTTGGTTCAGTGGTAGTGCAGCACAGTCAGCTCCTGCTTGCTGCAGAACACTTAGTATACATGATGATAACCATTGACTTGACACAAGTGTTCAAGGTGTCAATGATCAGACTGCAGAATGGTGAGAGAAGCCTGGACTGCAGTATGAGTACTGCCTTTGGTGAGATAGATATTTGGACTGCAGTAACTACTGTGTACAGACAACATCAGTGAGAGGTGATACAACACACCTGCTTGGATTAGTAGCAACAGCCTGAGATTGCACTATGTGATGGAACAACTAAGTATACATTACAGTACAGTCCCTGTGCATAAGTTTGAGGACAATTGGGTAATTTCCCAATTTAGCTGGTTACCCTGCATTCATGTTGTTGTCATCATTGAGCAATAGCACTACTGTCACACTAATCAAGAACACTTCAAACACCAATATGGTCTGTGGCAATGAGCTCTCTCCAAGCAAGTGTGCTTCAATCATTGCAATGCATGATACTGGGCTGCCAATTCAATTAATTGCAGAGCTAAGTGGCATTTCCAAGACAGCAGTTCACAAGACCATCCATAACTTTAAGGAGCATGGTTCCTTCCAAACAAAAGCATGATTTGGCCTTCTGCACTCCTGGACAACTACCTTGGACTGCTACCTTTAGGGTGAGGTATTCAAAAACCTGTTTCTATCATGGCAACAGCTGTCAGCATTGCTTGGCAACATTCCAATAACACAGCTCCAGAAAGCAGCATACCAGGTCAGATTGCACTTCAAAAGCCATTTCTGACATCCAAACACCAGCATAAACATCTAGAATGGGCCAAGGCTAACAGCTCCACTGATTGGAGGGGTGTGCTATTCACAGATGAGGCAGCTGTTGAGGTTGGCTACTGGCCCAGATGCACATGGGTTAGTTGCTGGAAAAACACTTGAGAAGGCATCAACAACATGGTCCCAATGTTCTGTTCCAGCCATTTCAGCATCCAGGTATGGGTGGGCATTGCATACAACCTTAAAACACTGTTGGTTGTGCTCCTATTGGCTCCAAGAAAGAAGCAGCCAGGGTTGGCTAATCAATGGGATCCTGCCAAGAACCTCACAGCTGTCAGATATCATGATTGGATCATTGACAGCCCACTCTGGGACACCATAACTGCTGTTAGTGCATACCCTGACAGCCTGTTGCTTGTTGAAGGTGGCAGCAGCTGTCATCAGGCTGCTATCTGCAAGCAACAGTGGGCCAAATACCACATTAAGACACAGGAACACCTGCTGGCTTTGCCAGACCTTAACCCTATTGAGAACATATGGTATGTATTCAAAAACTTGCTTGGTAAGTGCTTGCTGGTTCCAAAACCTGGGATGAGCTTGCAAGAGCTGCAGAGAAAGTGTGGAACACCCAGACCATGCTCAAACATATCAACCCTGTGATCAAGTTGATGGAGCATCACATGGAGCAAGTGCTTACTAAGCATGGAGGTCTGCTCAAGTATTAGTCAGCTCTGAGACTCACTGCAATCAAAAGCTCTTCTTCCAAGCTTGCTCACTGTGTGTTTTGCTCAGCCTGACACTTATGAGAGATCAGTCCTCCAAGCAGATGGAAGGTATGCTATTGGATGGTTAAATCATTGTCTATTGAACCCTGTCCCCAAACTTTGGACAGGGACTGTAGAGTATAGTTTAATTAAGAATAGAGTGGATGCCAGATCCACTCGTTCACTATGATGGAGGGGCATATATATGCCTTGGTGCCATGGTGTCAACTTCGCCACAGCCTTCCTCCTTGCAGGTGTGTGGCCTCTCTGTCCACCCTTGTTTGCCTGGCTCCTACTCCACCCCTTGTCCTTCCTGCTACTACTCTTCTTGCTGAAGTGGTGATCCTCTTATGCCAACTTCATTGTGCTCAGGGGTTCACTCCCACCTCATCAGGTGGTGAGTTCTCTTGTCCCCTGTTCCCAGTGGCTGGCCCTACAGTCTTGATGGAGCATCCTCATCTCATCATGGGACCAATTGATCCACTTCATCTTGTGCCAGTCTCAGTGAAACTTCCCAGGTCCCACTGTCTTGACCATTCTCAATGAGGTTTTGCCTGAGCTTGCTATCTGACCATTCTTGATGAGATTGGTTGGAGCCCCTGGGTCTCAACCGGTCCCGCTTCCTGTGCACCGAGCTCATTTCGGCAGCTGCACAGAACATCTGCTTATTGTCATGGGCCTGAATGCTCAAGAAGCAGGAGGGTCACTGGTTCATAATGGAAGGAGCACAGGTATCGGAGATCTAGTCAATACCAGTAGAGAGCATGGTTGTAGTGCAGTCTCCATGGAGACCATGGACTCCTATGGACTCACATGCAAAGGAGCACTGAGCCCATATGTGAGGAGGGCCAGGCACAGCCACAAAGAGGACCAAGCTCAAGGAGCATGCAGATGGTTACCACTCAGGGGCTCGAGAGACAAGAGTCAAAGGAACCATCACCAGTCAAAGGAGAAGGAGCAGTGTATAGGGAACTGGCAAGCAGGTCCTGAGGAGGAGGAGCAGTGTTGAAGGAGTTGGCACCACTCAGGAGGCACAGGGGTGCCAAACAAGCAGAATAGCAAGGAGGAGGAGCAGTGTCGAAGGAGTCGACACAAAGGCACAGGGGTGCCAAGCAAGCAGGATAGCTCAAGGAGGACAGGAGTGGTACTAGAGGGGCCCCTGTACAGTACTCAATGAAGAAGGTACTCTCTGGAGAGAGAGAGCAGGAGCAGCGTTGCTGGCGATGCTGTGAAGAGGTATATAACCATACTTTCTCATCATCAAAGGTCAAGTGGATCCTCATCCACTCTACACACACCATAACTAGTTATCACTTCAGCATAAGTATATATTAGTTTCAGTCAGCCTAGTAGCAATCTATCAAGGTTGCTCCTCCTTGTAGTGCATGTGTTGTATCACCACTACCTGATGTCCAAAGGCAGTTCATAGCAAACCAGCAGTCCAGATTAAGATAGAACCAAAGGCAGTAGTCCACTGTGGCCTGGGGATCACTCCAAGCATCAGTCAACACACTGGACACTTGTGTTGATGCCACCAACCTTATCACCAACACCATCAACCTCATTATCATCAACACTCACCAACCTTATCACCAACACCATCAACCTCATCATCATCAACACTCACACCAGACCTTGGTGTCATCATAACCTATGTATTGATATTGATCGTGCCGAGCTACCCCTGAACAGAGTGTCCACAGAGGTCAGCCAAAACCTACAATAGTATATACAATGAATGCCACCTGCTGTCATCACGCAACTTGATAGTTGCTGAGCAACTAGCTCATCGAGACCGATGCTGAGACAATAGCTGTTGCACAGTTTGATAGTCACCGAGTATCTCGACAGACCGACCTGGGTTTCAGGCGCGAGACCCCTGACACTTATGATCTCTGCGCTGGCCCTGTGACAGAGTACTCCCACCTTCGGCATGTGCTGCTCACATGTATATATATCTCACAGAGAGCACTGTCATGGGCCTGGGTGCGCAGAACGAGGAAAGACCGAAGTTCATATGAAGGTAGCACAGGAATCATGGGATTGGGTAGATTGTAGGAGCTGCAACAGAGTTCACCAAGATTGGCAGTAGAATCAGCTCTATGGCAGATCGCAGCGAAATCAGCATGAGCATCGTTGATATCATGAATCCTGCCAGAATCTGCAGCAAGCATGATTGTGTGGCAGATTCCACAGAGATCAGTGACAAGGATGTCCATATGACGATTCACATGCAGAATGCACCACAGCTCTCATATGAAGGGGACCAAGTTCAACCGGGCCAAGGACCAAGCCTTGCCAAGAAAGGGACTGAGCTCAGTGACATGCGGTCAGTTACCACTCAGGGGCACACAAGATGGGAGCAAAGGAGGACCGTCACTGGTCAAGGAAGGAGAGCTGTGTAAGGGGCACCAGCGAGACAGACATGAGGAGGAGGAGCAGTGTCAATGAAGTTGACACAGCTCAGGAAGGATAGGAGCAACAGGGCACAATGAGGAGAAGGAGTCTCATTGGAGACTCCTGCATAGTACTCGATGCAGAAGGTACTCTCTGGAGAGAGAGAGCAGGAGCAGTGTCACTGGCAATGCTGCAAAGAGGTATATAACCATACCTTCTCATCACAAAAGGTCAAGTGGAGGATCATCCACTCTACACACCATATAAACTAGTATTACTTCAGAAGCATAAGTACATTAGTTTACAGTCAGCATAGTAGTAATCAATAGATTGCTCCTCATTGTAGCGTGTGTGTTGTATCACTGCTCACTGACATCTGAAGGCAGTTCATAGCAAACCAGCAGTCCAGATTAGATAGAACCAAAGGCAGTCATCCACTGCAGTCTGGGGATCACCTCAAGCAACAGTCTACACACTGGACACTCATGTTGGCACCACCAACAATCACTCCCACACCAGACCTTGGTGTCAGTACCAGTTCACATTGTTATTGATCATGCTGAGCTACCTCTGGATGGAGTGTCTGACAGCAGTTAGTCAAAATCTGCAATAGCAGTACTACAACTACAGATTCGAACAAGAAAAGTGATAGAGATGGCTCTATTGCATATTTCCCTAAGAATCGAAATACCACTAGCATTATCGCATAACTCAACAGAATCAGTAATAGTATCGATACTACTACCGATCTCAGGTTTCAGGCGCACGACCGCTGACAAGCACTAGGCTCTCGCTTCATTCCTTTAGTCAATTGAGTATATATGTTTCTGCCTTAAAGAAGTAGTGACATCGTACTTAGACTATCCCCAATTGCCAGTTATCGGGACCATACTTCTTTACTTTTTCTCAGGTTGTGAGCCCAACAAGCTGATACACTATCAGCAACACTAGCTGATATGCTACCAAATTTGATATCAACAAGAGGTTTCACCATCAACATGTTGAACCCTGACTACTCATTGTACGAATGCTTTGTCGAGGTGATCAAGGAGCTCCTCCCTCGCCTTCCAGACATAGTACAAAACCATTACTGTCAATTGGTCAATGAAAATACCTATGGTACACCAAAAGAACCAAAGGCTGGACTGATCTTCAAATACACCAGAAAGACAAATGTCAAGCAAGAAGTGACACCCCTCATTATCATGATCAAGTGTGTTGCCACACTCTACCATGCAATGCATAATCTTGGCCCCTTCCATAGCCACTTTGAGCTCAAATGGCAAATGAGAACATGTGCAACCTCATTCATTGGCAATGAGAGGGATGCAATCTGCATCCTCCACTTCATGATTGAGGATCCAAGGTGGTTTGAAGTGGAAGCCACTGCTCTGGAACAGGAGTTCAACATGACATTGTCCAAAGGGGGAAATGTTGTGCAGGACTCAACAATGGATGAAGCTTCCGATCTGGAAGAGGAGCTCGACGTGGCATTGTCCAAAGGGGGAGATGTCATACAGGACTCAAAGATGGACGAAGCCTCTGATGTAGTGCAAACGTTGGCCACAACGAGCAAGCTCAATGTCGCTCTGACCACAAGAGAGTTCACATTTGATCCGACTGCTGTGGCAGGTGATGGCCTCATCATCACTGGTCTGAACTTTGTCGATGCTGTGGCTGGTCATCATGGACCCCCCACCTCATCGTCCGCTGCCTCCCATCTCACTAGCGTGGACGTGAACTTCAGCATCAAGATCGATGACCAGTGTCTCTTCAACACACCGGAAGGGCAACCTCTTCCAAAGCCACCAGAAGGCAAGCCGGCCCTGATTGGTGGTTTCCCTTGCTCACTTAGAATTGGCAAGATTGTCGGACACACCCCCGCATTGGCCGGAGCTCCGGACGAGCAGCGACCCATGGCATGGCAGCCGCTCCTTGGCCATCGTTTCGCATCCACACCCACAGTCAACAACGCTTGGCGACGCAATTGCATCAAGAATACGTACGATGCAAGGAAGTCCATGACGAGCAAAGCACTTCGCAGCGCTCATGAGACATATGGCGACGGCGAGATGGATCACCACCTCTACACTGCTGTCGCCACCATGAACACTGACGCTCAGTGGAAGCTCCCTGGTCCTCTTCCCGTGTTCGACCCTCCCCGCCCCAACACCACAACAATCATCGCCAAGGCTCAGTTGCTCAGTACCTCAGTGAAGGTGCTCTCTGGTGACGCCGTCACCATTGACAAGGAGACCCTCACAAGGCTTGCTCTCGGCACCAAGGTTTACTCAACTGCAATGACTGACGATGATGCCAGTGATGCTTTGTCATGCAAGAATGCCAACTGTAGCATTACCGTCAAAGGGGCTTCCGATGCTACCTGCTTAGCTGCAGGGCCCTCTTCCACCAAGACTGCATGTCAGGACAGGCACCTCTCTCATGGTCCCTTCCATGCTGTCCACTTCTCACGTAATGGCAAGCTTCTGGTTCCCATGACCACTGACCTTGTCCTCTGGGTTGTCAGCCCTGGTTCCTCTCACAATCTCAGTGAATCCGACAATCGTGCCAGTGAAGCACATCAAGATGCTCCCACCATCAAATTCCCATTCCGTCCCATGAACAATGAGAGCACACCCGCAGAGACCAGCGCAAACACAGGGGGTATTGGAGGTAGTGGTATTCGCGCTGTTCAGAGGTGTCACGACAATACCATCGCTCTAGCATTCAACGACAAGGTAGTCTTGGTTGGCCCCTCTGGTGCACCAATCCGCTATCCTTCTTCTCCCGCATGACCTGTCTCCGCTGCCACCCGCACTGACATCCATGTCGCCATGACCAAAACGATGCTCATCGTCACGCTCATGACGCTGCAAGCTCTTATCCATGAGCACATGGATGACATTGCTGACACTATTGTTCTTGAACAGGAAAAGACCTTTGTCGATGACATGGGTGATGTTCTTCGTGGTCTTCAGGTCGTTGAAGTTGCTTGTGGTATCATCTGCACCCTCATGGAAGATGTCATAGGAGCCGGATGCGCAGGAGGCAGGAAGAAGTTGAAGTCATATGAAGGGGATGTCAGAGGTCGCGTGCCCAAAACCTGATATCTGTAATAGAAATGCATCTATTACAAATCCTGTTGAGATATGTGACAACACATGATGTATTACTGTTCTTGTTGAGATATGTAGTAGAGAAGTCTTTATTACTTTTCTCACCCAAAGATGTAGTAGTGGTTTTGCTATTGCAGGTTTTGACTAACCACTGTGGACACTCCATCCAGAGGTAGCTTGGCATGATCAATAACTGTTATGAACTGGTACTAACACCAAGGTCTGGTGTGATTGAGATTGTTGATGTTGCTGACATGAGTGTCCAGTGTGTTGACTGAGTGCTTGAGGTGATCCCTGGACTGAAGTGGACAACTGCCTTTGGTTCTATCATTATCCAGACCACTGGTTTGCTATGAACTGCCTTTGGATGTCAGTGAGTGGTGATACAACACATGTGCTACAATGGAAGCAATCTACTTGATTGCAACTTCGCTGACTGAACTAATGTATACTTATGCTTAAAGTGATAACTAGTTATGTATGGTGTAGAGTGGATGGAGATCCACTCAACCACTTATGATGAGATGGCATGGTTTATATTTATCTTTGCAGTGTCACCTGCAACTCTGCTCTGGCCCTCTCTCTCAAGAAGGCACCATCTTCATCGAGTACTGTGGCAGAGGTCTTAATCTATGCACCACCCCATTGCTGAGCCCTGCTTCTCATGCTCCTGAGTCGAGGAGAGCCAGCATCATCTTGTTGCTGATAGGGGTTGCCCCACTTCATCCCAATGACAGTGCACAACCCCTTCTTCCATCCACCTCCTGACTTTGGCACCCATCTCCTTATGCCAATTTCATCATCATGTAGGGTCCCTACCTCATCTGGTGGTGACCCCAAATGTCCTTGTCACTTAATCTATACTGGATCTGTTGTATGATTGTCCTTGCCCCTCATCTCTGCAGAACATGTCATACAATCTTGGTTACTACAGATCCTGGAGGGACTCATGATACCATCTTGGCTTGTGCCGATCTAGGTGAGATCTGCCATAGAGCTGTTTCTTCTACAGATCTTGGTGAACTCTTCTGCAAGTCCCATGATCTGCCCAATCCCTCAATTCCTGTGCTCCCTTCATATGAATCGATGGATCTTCCTGCTTCCTGCGCATCCAGGCCCATGACAGGGGAGCGCAGATTCCGCAGGATCGGGCTAAACGAGAGTGTCACAGGGCCAGTGCAGGGATCATAAGCAGACATGCTGCGCAGCCGCCGAAATGAGCTCAGTGCACAGGAAGCGGGACTGGTTGAGACCCAGGGGCTCCAACCAATCTCATCGAGAATGGTCAGATAGTGAGCTCAGGCAAAACCTCATTGAGAATGGTCAAGGCAGTGGGACCTGGGAAGTTTCACTGAGACTGGCCTGAGATGAAGTGGATCAATCAGTCCCATGACAAGATGAGGATGCTCCATCAAGACCATATGGCCAGCCACTGGGAACAGGGGACAAGAGAACTCACCACCTGATGAGGTGGGAGTGAACCCCTGAGCATGATGAAGTTGGTGTAGGAGGACTGCTGCCTCGGCAAGAGGAGTAGGAGCAGGAAGGACAGGCATGTAGTAGAAGCCAGATAGACAAGGGTGGACAGAGAGGCCACACCCCTGCAAGGAGGGAGGCCATGGTGAAGTTGACACCATGGCACAAACATATATATACACCCCTCCATCATAGTGAATGAGTGGTTCTGGCATCCACTCTATTCTTAACTAAACTATACTCTACTGTAACATATACTTAGTTGTTCTGTCACATAGTGCAATTGCAGGCCATTGCTACTAATCTGAGCAGGTGTGTTGTATCACCCCTCACTGACATTGTCTGTAGGCAGTAGTTACTGTGGTCCAGATAACTATCTCACCAAAGGCAGTACTCATACTGCAGTCTGGCTTTTCTCACCAATTTGCCATCTGATCATCGACACCTTGAACACTCATGTCAAGTCAACAGTTATCACCACATATACTAAGTGTTCTGCAGCAAGCAGGAGCTGACTGTGCTGTGTTACCACTGAACCAAGTGTTCACAGCAGTTAGCCAAAACTCATTGAGCAAACAACCCTCAAGTAGTCTCAGTGAAAGTGGCCAACAGGTGCATACTCAAGAGTGCTTACTGAAACTGGTTGAAATCAATCAAGCCAGTAGGTTTCAGGTTCCAGGCACACGACCGCTGACACTGAGCACCAAGAATCTCCCAATGGATGACAGGGGCAACACTCATATCTGCTCCAAGGTTACATTGTGGGTCCAGGAGGGCCAGCTCCTTGAGATTGACCCTCAGCAGCTTGGCTTGGTGTGTTCCCTGGTTGGGACTGTCCCCAAACTGTGCTCCACCAGACTCTGGACCATTCACCATCTTTCTCACCCCCACCTTCCCTGCCCTCAGCAGCTGTCATCGGTCAATGATGGCATTGCCACTCACTTCACCATGATCTGATATGTCTCCCTCATCGAACAAACAACCCTTCAAGCAGTTTCAGTGAAAGTGGCTGACAGGTGCATGCTCAAGAGCGCTCACTGAAACTGGTTGAAATCAATCAAGCCAGTAGATTTCGGGTTCCAGGCACATGACCGCTGACAGAGAGCTTAAGGAAGAGTTCACTGAGATCAGTAGTAGAAACGACCCTATGGCATAACTCGTCAAGATCAGCAGGAATGAGGTCATTACTACAGAGTTCAATGGGAATTGTAATATCACACTGAGTACAACAGACCTCATAGGAATCGGTCCAAGAGGCACCCCATTGCTGATACAGCGAGGGGAGGACACCAAACAAGGGGAGGACACCACCAGATGAAGCAGGGGCCTAGCACGATGATGAAGTCGGTGCCAACAGGTGGGCGCCAATGACAGGAGGGTGACGAAAGGGTACGAGTCACCACTCAGATGAAGTGGGACTGGCCCCTAACGGAGATGAGACAGCAAGGAGTCCATCCATCCAAAGGAGGATAGTAGGGATGAGGAGGAGGAGCAGTGTTGCAGGCGACACTGAAAAGAAGGTATATAACCATGCTCCCATCATAGTAAGTGAGTGGATCATCATCTGCTCTACACCATACAAACTAGTTATCACTCCTACTCAGGTATACTTAGTTTCCAGTCAGCAAAAAGTAGCAATCACAAGTATATTGCTTCCATCATAGCACATGTGTTGTATCACTGCTCACTGACATCCAAAGGTGGTTCATAGCAAACCAGCAGTCCAGATAATGATAGAACTGAAGGCAGCAGTCCACTGCAGTCTGGGGATCACCTCAAGCACTCAGTCAACACACTGGACACTTGTGTTGGTGATCTCAATTATCTCAATCACACCAGACCTTGGTGTTAGTACAAATTCATATTAGCTATCAATTGTGTTGAGCTACCTCTGGATGGAGTGTCCCCAGTGGTCAGTTGAAACCTGCAATAGCAAAACAACTACTACATCTTCAGGTGAGAAAAGTGATAAAGACTTCTCTACTACATATCTCAACAAGAACAGTAATACATCATGTGTTGTCACATATCTTGACAGGATTTGTAATAGATGCATTTCTATTACAGATATCAGGTTTTGGGCGTGCGACCCCTGACATTAGAGTGTATCGAGGTCTCGAAGGACATGGACACCTACGCTTGTCGTGAGTCTCTCAGTGTCATCACTGCCATTGCTCCTAACGAGTATACTGTCTCATGACAGAGACTGGACAAATTCGGCCAAAGGAACGACCTCAACAGCAGCAACTTCGAGCTTGGTCGCGCCCAGGTGTACTACACCTCAAGTTTGTTTGAAGTGCGACTCAACGGCACTCAGCCTGCTCAAGTTACAGCCAACACCAACACAGGCCCGACAAGTGCTACCCTCTTGAGTGCCACTCGCCGCCTTGGCAGCAACGATACGATGGAAGAAGAATGTCACATCGCAACCATGGATATGACTGCAGTAGTGTCGCCACCAGAGCTGCGCAGGACGATCCTATGGGTCCTCACCACCAAGCACTCGCCACAGCTTCACTCGTCCGCTATCAGTTTCATCACTTCGACACTTGCACAAAACGGCCTTCTAGATCAGCCACTTGAATGGGAGGAAGCCATTGATGCTCTCTCGCAGGGCATAGTTGATGGACAGTCGGACGTAGACCCGCACTTTTCTCGAGGAGCAACTCGTGGCGGCAATCAGAATGTAGACATGGGACCATCAGATGTAGTTATGGCAGCAGCGCTCGAGCAGGTCTATTCCAGACTAGTCGTAGCAGACTCAGCAGCACATACAACTCAAGGCGCTCTCGCATCGACTTTTTTAGCTAATGATGGTGTGCATTGACACCCACACGAGCTCACCGATGGAGAACTGCCAGATCCACACCGCTACTTTGGCGTTCACTCAGCACCCGCACCAAGTCGAGCTGGCACATCCGCGCCGTGGCGAGGAGCTATCCCTGTCAGAGAAGAAGCTGCTTTCCAAGTCCACGAAGCCAACCACTCCGACCTCTGCATTGTCATCTTCTCCGATCTCTCGACCATCGTCACCTCGACAGAAGCCGCCTTCTACACTGACGTCTGGAAGGATGCCTTGGATGATATCGGCTACGGCTCGGAAGGTAGCCTGCGACCAAATGACCATCAGACCCACGTGGTCAAGATGCACAATCAACCCCTGCTCCTCCGCCAAGGCTGCACACATCTTCAAGTCGCTCCCCAATTCCGTGGTGGTGTCGTGGAGTCAAGAAATCTGTGAAGCATCAACAAGGTGCTCAAGTTGATGATCGACTCTACTTGCGCCAAGCTACACAGCACCTGAACGCATTGGTCTGGCCGTCGCGTCCATCACACCTTCATCATCCCTGCTGAGGTCATCCGCTCCAACTTGATTGTCTTCATCGCCATTTTCGCTGATGTTGCCACCATAGCTATTGCTTCTAACAACGTCCCCCACATGGTTCGCGATGCTAGCCGGTGGCAGTTGCATACACCAACGGGAGGTGCATGTGAAGGTCAACTCACGCCGGCTTGCCAAAGCCGTCTAACTCGAGATCAGCCGCAGCAGCCGACTCGTCCTCTGCAGCGGGACCCACATACAACTCGGTGCCCTCGTCACAATCATCGCCCTCGTCACATTTGTCGGTCTTGCCGCAATAGTCAGCCTTTGATACAGAGCACCATCACTGCTTTTGAAGCTGCTCCTTTGGATCCAATTGATTTGTTGTTGGACCCTGGCTCGACAACCTCGATGCTGCCCGTTTCGCACATGGAAGCGAACATGACCCGACCTGGCCGTGTCTGACCAACGCTCAATTTCAGTCCGACAACTGGTGCATATGTTGTGACCTTGCCAGTGCTCAAGAGATGACGATACAACAACTGCCATGAAAGACTCATGAACAGTGATTGGCTTCTCTCCCTCTTTCTCTGGCTCTCCATCTCAGTTCAGGTCAACGTTTCAACATCAACTGCATGGTCATCGACGCTCCTGTGCGATCGCATCTCAGACACAGCAACCATTGTGCGCTTTGCTGATCGCCTCCCTGACCCTGATGCTGACTCACGTTCCAGATGGCATGACAAGTGCAATGACATCCATGTCATTCTGACCAAGACGATGCTCATCATCACGCCCGTGATGCTGCGAGCTCAACAGATCAAAGAGATCGAAAAGTGCACCCCGCATCATATGAACAACGATGAACTCATGGTGTACGGTCACAAGTGGTACTTCAGGCATGCAGGTCAGGCTTCATGCGTGCTCGCTGTCACAGGACCTGCGCAGGAGATCGGGTCAGTGCAGGAAGATCCGAGATGAAGATGAAGATGTGGTGCACCCAGAAAAAGGTGCACAAAATGTGACATCAACTGTAAGACAGGTTTCCAGTTGATTTCAGGGAAACCAACCATGACAGGGGTTTCTGATTGGTTTTGCTGAAATTGAGCAGAACACACTCATTGGGTTGATTTCACCAAAGCATGTCACACAAAGCCCCATCAGTACAGAATGGACCAACAGGACACAAGGAGGCAATGGGAGACTTGGTAGGGAAGGCCTCCATCATCAAAGGTAGGATAGGGCACAAGGAAGGGTCTCACATGCTAAAGGGGGTCCAAGTTTAGCCAAGAAGAGGACCAAGCTCAGGAGCAAGCAGCAGGTTACCACATAGGGGGATGTGCTCTTGATTGCATAAGGGTTGGTCACAAGGTAGACTGCATGGACAAGAACAAGACAATAAGGATGGTCACACAGTCAGAGAGGGCCATCAGATAGGGGCCAAGGAATGACCATGGATTGAGAGGAGAGGGAGTCAGACCAAGAGGGTCAGCATTGGTACCATGAGGAGGATGGGCAGTGTTGAGAAGAGTCAACACACAGCCCAAGGAAAGGAGGGGTATGAGGAGGACAGAAACACTCCTCCAGAGGAGTAGGAGCAGTGTGTCAGGGGTCTCGCGCCTGAAACCCAGGTCGGTCTGTCGAGATACTCGGTGACTATCAAACTGTGCGACAGCTATTGTCTCAGTATTGGTGACTATCAAGTTGTGCAGTGACAGCAGGTGGCGTTCGTTGTATATACTATTGTAGGTTTCGGCTGACCTCTGTGGACACTCCGTTCAGGGGTAGCTCGGCATGATCAATATCAATGCTTCGGTTATGATGACACCAAGGTCTGGTGTGAGTGTTGATGATGATGAGGTTGATGATGTTGGTGATAAGGTTGGTGAGTGTTGATGATAATGAGGTTGATGGTGTTGGTGATAAGGTTGGTGGCATCAACACGAGTGTCCAGTGTGTTGACTTGATGCTTGAAGTGATCCCCAGACTGCAGTGGACTACTGCCTTCAGTTCTATCTTGATCCAGACCACTAACCTGCTATGGGCGCCTTTGGACATCAGGTAGTGGTGATACAACACACACACTACAATGAGGAGCAACCTTGATAGATTGCTGCTATGCTGACTGAAACTAATATATACTTATGCTGAAGTGATAACTAGTTATGGTGAGTAGAGTGGATGAGGATCCACTCGACCTTTGATGATGAGAAAGCATGGTTATATACCTCTTCACAGCATCGCCAGCGATGCTACTCCTGCTCTCTCTCCAGAGAGTACCTTCTTCATCGAGTACTGTTCAGGGGCCTCTCCTGCTTGGCACCCCTGTGCCTCTTGAGCAGTGTCAACTCCTTTGACACTGCTCCTCCTCCTCATGACCTGGTGTCGACTCCTTCGACACTGCTCCTCCTCCTCAGGACCTGCTTGCCAGTGTCCTATACACTGCTCCTTCTCCTTTGACTGGTGACAGTTCCTTTGACTCTTGTCTCTTGAGCCCCTGAGTGGTAACCATCTGCATGCTCCTTGAGCTTGGTCCCCTTTGTGGCTGTGCCTGCTCCATGAGCTTGGTCCTCCTCATGGCTGTGCCTGGCCTTCCTCGCCTATGGCTCAGTGCTCCTTTGCATGTGAGTCCATAGGAGTCAATGGTCTCCATGGAGACTGCACTATGACCATGCTCTCTACTGGTATCAACTAGCTCTTCGATACCTGTGCTCCTTCCATATGAACCAGTGACCCTCCTGCTTCTTGAGCATCCAGGCCCATGACACAGTGCCACAGATGGCATCTCTAAAACACATAAATACTACTACTACTTCACCATAGCAAACAAGTGGATCCTCATCCACTCTACTCTTTACTTTACTTACTCTTACTTAGTTACATATCATTGCAATAGCAAGGAGCCTTTGCAATGACATCTCAAACATGTGTGTTGTATCACCATCAGACATCAAAAACTGTAGGTGGTGTTCTCTCAACACCTGCAGTCCAGTTCATCACTGTAGGCAGTGTTGCTCAACACCTGCAGTCCAGTCAGTTATTGTAGGCAGTGTCTAACACCTGCAGTCCAGTAACTCCCATCATCTGTAGGCAATAGGCTTATTGCAGTCCAGGTGACATCAAAGAGCATCAAGCAACAGTACTACAAACACTTGTGCTGTATAGGAGAGTGTAACACTCTCACCCCAGGAAGTAACAGATGTGCTGCACAACCTCTGAATGGAGTGTTCAAGGTGGTCAGCTGAAACCTACCAGAATGAAGCTGTCTGGTTACTTTCAGTTGAAACATACTGAGTAGATCTTACTCAATTGATCTCACCGAAATCAATCAGAAACACCCAATCTGGTTTCAGGTGTGCGACGGCTTACACTCGCATCCATATCTAGACTACAATTTTGAAGGGTCTCAGCACTAAGGACCGATGGAACGCACTGGATTGAGAGGGGGTGTTGGAGATTACAATCCAGTGTGACACTAAAGGATGGCACAGAGCTGATCTGATTGGAGATCAGGCAGAGCCAATCTGGTTAGATGACCAATCTGATCAGAGATTGAGCTGAGCCAATCTCAGCAGAGATTGGGTGCAACACAGTCCTGCTCATTGTCATGGTAGATCATTAAGTAGGAGTACTCCCACCTTTGGCATGTGCTGCTCACTTGTATATATACCTCACAGAGAGCACTAGGCTCTCGCCACATTCCTTCAGTCAATTGAGTATATGTGTTTCTGCCTTAAAGTAGTGACATCGTACTTAGACTATCCCCGATCGTCAGTTATCGGGACCATACTTCTTTACTTTTTCTCAGCTCCATGTCACACAAACTCGCAATTTCGTAACCATTCGCCTTGTCATTTTCAACAAACACAGACGCATTTCAGATTGTGACGAAAGGTGTGATTGCATGCAAAACATGTAACCTTATGATGACGAACCCTCATTCTGTGTCTGCTGAGGAAGTGGAGTTGGGGCCACAGCATCCAAAACCCTAGTCAGATCGCCAATGACACCATCGATTCTTGCCTGGATACCGGAAAGAAGTGCGATCTGTTCTTGAACCCCTCGTCTTTTGTCTTGCAGCGCCGCTTCTGCGTTGTTCGGCTGAACAGGGGCTGAGGAGGCAGGAAGAAGGGGGTGTGGGAGAACAGAAGCATGCTTCGAGTGGAAGTTGGCAATCTGATTCGAGTCGAACAGGGGGATGAGTCCTATTGGTGGCGAAGCTGCTAGTTGAGATGACGATGCTGGGATGGTGGTTGATACTGATGGCGTTGTGGTCGAGGAAGAGAAGTTGAGTTGACCGAACCGCCTCAATGTAGCTTGACGAATAGCTTCACGCGGGTCTGATGGATCTTCGCTCTCCGCCTCGCCCTCGTCAGGCGCAGTTGAAGTGGTAGGGTCGAGATCTCTAGCTTTGCCTTTGCCCTTACCTTCACCTTCACCCTCTTCTGTACTGTGTGTAGCAGCCGGAGCTGCAACCCTTGGACCTGCCCCATTAGGAAGCGTCGGTCTCCTGCCATTCACGTACAGCGTCGAGGGAGGAGGTGGCATCCACAACCCACCTTCCACGGAATTCACTTCAAAACCCTTACCCTGCACAAGAGGCAGCCATCCATTGTTTCTCGGCAGCCCTGCGTGCCTTCCACCCTGACCAAAATCTAGCCCAGCCATAGCAGCCGACAATCTCGTTGCTCCATTTGCACCGCCTCGTGGCGTTGAACGTCCACTCCTGCTAGTTCTCCGTCGCGTCGCGGAAGCTTGACGAGCGGAAAGGTTTCCTTCCTCCCGAACCTTGCGAAGGTCTGATTGGAGGCGAGAAAGGAACCCTTGTAGGCGCGAGTCGTACTCTTGTTCTGCTGCGGTTGGGTCATGTGTGGTCAAATCAGTCGCATTTGCAGTTGAGGTGTTGGGCTGCTGTGGATCGGATCCGCTTGGGACTGCAGGACCAGTAGTGCCAGATTGTGCGGCGTCGTTTTGTTGCTGCTGCAGTGCTTGCTGCTGTTGCTGTTGCTGTGCTGTCGGAGCTGGCTCGGGATCATCATCCAAAATCATTCGCCTACAAGTGGGACAACTCTGTTGTCTCTCCAACCAACTCCTCAAACAACGGAAATGGAAAATATGACCACAAGAAAGCTTTTTCGGTGTTTTATTTGTCACCATCCCTCCTCCACTCGCAGCCGCAGTTCCGGCTTCACTCTCTAGTTCAGCCGCTACCATATCCTCTCTACAAATGATACAAGTACCATCCGTACTCTGCAGATCCGCAGCACTGGCATTTGGATACTTCGTCTCCATCTTCTTCACCGCTTGCCTGTAACGTATCAGCGCTTTCACCTTCATTGTGCAACTCCTGCCTGTGCTGTATAGATCGTGAATAAGCGACAGCGGGATACCGTACATCCTGGTGAGGAGGATAAAGAAGTAAGTATGCGTGCAGAGCCGTACTACATCGTGTGCGAGGTCGACGTAGAGAACGTAGAGGGATTTGGCCTCCCAGGGTTCCTCTCGGGCCGTATCAATGCAGTTCAAAATGTACTGCGCTATCGTGTTGCCGAGTAAAGCGGTGAGAATGATAAATTCAGAAGTGAACAAGACCATTATTCCCACTTTGATCTTTTTGATCAGCAGCATTTGCATCGAGAACCCAACCAGTATCAAATCCGCCAACAATAGCGTGGTGAGGATCGACACCATCCTAGCATGGAAGATCCTCGGCACGCTAGGACTTTGCATGATACTAGCCACCCTTTCAGCCGAAAGCCAGTGAAAGATCTTCAAGAACAGTAGCGTACCAAATAGAATGACGAAAGAAACGCTGAAATCATCTCGAAAGATCGAAACAGCCAACAACGTCCCTACAAGGCTGTACCACGATCGTTCACAGACAAGTTCGACTTCTGATCTGCGAAGTTGTCCGAAGAACAGCAGTTGGAGTATCCGCCCAGCGACTAATGCTATGACGAGGAGGAAGTTGAGTAGAATGAGAAGGCAGCCATTGGATCGACCGAGGAAGACGACTGCTGCGTAAAAATTGCTTCGTTCGTTGAAAGCTGTTCCGACTGCAAGGAGTGCTGCGAAGGTGGACAGGATGTTGTAGGCGTAGACTCTGGGTCTTGTGACCCAGGATAGCATTGCATTCGGTGGCATCGTTGCTTTGAAGGCTGTCGAGCAGCGACTGCGAGTTGCAGTTCCGTTGAGAGTTAGAAGGTGTTGGTGTCCCGTTTAGTCACGGTGAATGAGAATATCCATCGAAGACGCTTTTGGGTGGATCCGCTTTCGAGCTGAGCACTGGAAGTTTCAATACAGCTCTTCAATCAGCACCGCCGATCGATATTTTGTGCTGTGACCAGTTTCGATACAGGTGATGATGTTCCAAGAGATGAAGGTGACGATGTTTCAAGAGGTGAAGGTGACGAGATGAAGTGTTGGTCTGTAGGTCTCCTCGGACTGCAGCTCGTTGAGAAGGTGCAGGTCAAAGCGAAGGCTCCAGCTCAACGCACTGTGGCTTTAGAGCTTCTCGTGCTTCACGTGATTTCATAGAAAAGGCGTGCGCGTCTGGACTGACTCAGCCATCGCATTGTTCTCTCCGCTCTTCACAACATCAGTCCGCTCCTCGCTCCTATCTTCACTACCATCACCATATCCAAAGCCAGGGATACGATAACCTGGTTTGTCGATTCTTTGGCTCTTGATCGATGTCCCGCAGTGTCACAGCTAGGAGCTTCGGCTTTCTGCACTGCTCAGCGACATCATCAGGTCCCAGCCACCAGATCCAGTGACCCATTCTGGCGCAATGAATGATGCAGCGCAACTCTGCCATATCGGCAAGCACTCCAAGCCTCTTGCTTCATTTCGCCACCAGCGATTCCAACACCAGACCACTTCATCGTGTCTAGACTGCCGTACCGGAAGCATTTGCACCACACTCTCCCAACGGCCTCCTCCACCCCTGGCCGATACCTCACCCCCGACTGCTCAGGACCCAGTCGCCACCACTTCCTCACCTTCGCAAGACTCCACCGCCCCTACCACTGTCCCCCCACCCCTACCACCCCCTTCCATGTCGGTTCCTCCCACGCTACCTGCATATCCATCCGCTGTCCCCCTTCCGACACCAGCACCATCAGCACCTGCTCAGACCTTTGTAACATGCACAGATCTATCTGCCAGCATTGGCGAGCTCCGCCAGTTCCTTCAAGACGAGTTCGCTGATATACTGCAGAGGGTAGCTAGTACTCCGCCGTCAGCTCAACCACTCCTGCCTGCACCTTTCCTGCAGCCTCAGCCGTCTCCCGCCTTACCTGCCGAAATTGGTGAGTACCAATCTGACATCACGTTTCCGTGGCTATCGGGTGACCTGATTGACAAAATCCACCAAGACACGCTTAGTGTCTACGACCTCCCGAAGCTTGCAAACCCATCATGGCCTGGTGCTCCGGCTCTGGAAGACAACGCCCTAGTCTTGATTGAGGGTTTCTCCGTGGTCAAAGGCCAATCCACTTCGACGTCCAACCGCCAATTCATCAAAGCAGTTCCAAGTTTTTCGACGTTTGGCCGACTTTGGGTTGTCTATCTGTCACTCCGGTCATCCAGCTCCCATGACTGTGACCTCCCCGTCAGCCTCGGCTGTTTTTACCAACACGTTGCAGACCTATCTGAGGTTTTCCCTAGGACCGAGTCGCCAGCTATGTCATTGCTGTCTGCACATCTCGTCTTGGCTGGGCCAACGCCACCGAGTGGTCTCGTTTCAACACCAAGCTGCATGCCTCCCACTTCCAAGGAGTGCCAGCATGATCTACCACCGCTCCCAGCATCAAACGACCCGCCCCCCGCCTCGACGATCCTCGACGTGACCAGGTTTGCATCTCTTGGAACCAAGGTCGTTGCTCTGGAACTGACCAGCGGCCTTGCATCCGCAAACATATGTGTCTCACCTGTGGAGGGCAGCACCCATCCAAGACGTGCACCTGTAGCACCTCTTCCAATGGACCCCCTACCAAATCGGCTCTGGCCAACTGATCTTCCTCCCCCCTGGCTGTCCCAAGCGGTTCCAGCGGCCCTTCGGTCCCTACCCCTTCTGGCACACCCCACTCTCACCCAGTCCCATGGCCTCACAGCCGGTCACTCCGGCTTCACGTTCCCACTTAGCGACTCCCCCCTTTCCTTTCCGGCCACAGCGACGACTCGCCTGTCCCAACCGGCTCCATCCTCGACATCACGACACCCCTCCTTGTACCCCCCACCGCCATTGCTCTCCACCAGCTGATCCCCCTCCAAACCCTCCAAACCCTCCAACCTCCGGCCCACCCCAACACCACCCTGAACGCCCCTCTCTATCCAGACAGCGGCATCCCAGCTCGCCATGGAACAATGCAGGCTACGGTAGCCCACTGGCACCAGGCGCTTCTCCACTATCCCGACCGCCTCTTCGTGGCTCAACTTTTGGGCGCAATCACACATGGGGTCCACCTGGGTTACGCAGGGCCCCTCCGCCGCCTCGGCCGCTTTGCGAATCCCAAGAACCTGCCCATGGACCACAAAGGTGAGACACATGTCCAAGTTGAAATTGCGACTCACCTCCTGGAGGGGCGCCTGGTCGAGGTTGACCCTCGCGCGTGCAATCTGGTCTGCTCGCCAATTGGGGTCGTGCTGAAACCACACTTGTCCAAACTCCGCACCATACACCACCTCTCCCACCCCCGCCTACCTCGACCCGACCAGATGCCATCCGTCAATGATGGCATTGCCCCTCATTTCACCTCGATCCGGTATGCCTCCTTGGCCAACATCTTGGCCTTCATCTGGGAGAACCCAGGCTGTCGCCTCTGGAAGAGCGACCTGACCGACGCCTTCCGGCACATCGTCACGACTCTTGCCAATGCCCGGTTACTTGGCTTTTCCTATGCTGGGCGTTACTACATGGAGACCGGCCTCACCTTCGGAGGCTGCAGCTCCCCTTGGCTGTTCAATCTCTTCGCTGAGGCCCTGCACTGGGTCCTGCAGTCTACGACGCCCAACCCCGTCAACCACTACTTGGACGACTTCTTTGGTGCAGTCCCGGCCGACACCGACCCAGGTCAGCCCCTGCATGCTCTTGCTTTGGCGTGTTCAGCCCTTGGTCTTCAACTTGCGCCTCTAAAGACCTTCTGGGCTGCGACCAAGTTGGAGATCCTGGGCATCCAGATCGACACAATCCAGCAGAGCATCAGCATCACTTCCGAACGCCGCTCGCGTATCCTTGACGCCGCCAACATCCTCCTGACCCGGTGCTCCGCTCGCCTTCATGACTGGCAATGCATTGCTGGTCTTCTTCAATTCGTCTCCCAGGTAGTGCTGCATGGCAAGGCTTATTTACGCCGCCTGTATGATGCCTCGAAAGCGGCCCATCAGCACCCATTGTGCCTCCGCCCCATTTCACAACCCGCCACTGACGAGCTCCGTTGGTGGCAGTCCACCCTCCAGTCGTGGGCCGGTCACTCCCTCCTTCAGCCATCTCCTCTGCTGATTGAGCACATCTGGACTGACGCTTCCAAGCACGGCTACGGGGCTCACTTGGGCCTCATGCGATCCCCCACCGCAGCTTTCTCTTGGGAGGTGAATTGAAGATTGCAAGTAAAACGCCGCCGATCGGAGCTACTAGCAAGCTCAACTTCACGGGTGTATAACTTCAAGAAAAATGCTTATAATTTCTATTTGTGTGTGCTACAACATGAATGTGTATATATATTTGATCATCATCCTTAACACCTGCTATGTTGTAATGAACTCTTCTTTCATATGGCCCCTGTGTTGTTGCTTTCTGGTTGTTGCCTCTCCCTGAGTGTTATGGTTGCATCGTTTATATATCCCACATGCATGTCAATGCATGTTGATATGCAACTCTGACTCACTATTATCTAACTTGAACTCCACAGACCCTGTAATCCACGTTAGGATGCCAACGAATCTTCAACTCCCTCCCTCGATGGCATCATCAACCCTATCAAGCATGTGATCTGAGATGTGGCCAGACCCTTTAAAGGTTTTGTGAGGATATCTGTGACATTGTCTGCTGTCCCAACAAAATTGATTTTGACTTCTCCCTCCTGAACGTGATCTCTGATGAAATGATATCTTGTGTCGATGTGCTTCAATTTCCAATGCTTAGTGGGGTCTTTGCTTACCTGGATACATCCTTGGCTGTTGGTCCATAGTGTTGGTGGCTGAGCCTCAATTCCCAGATCCCTAAGGAGGTATGAGAAGAAGAGGGCCTCTCTCGTCACTTCCAAGGCAGCTACGAACTCGGCTTCTACTGCTGATAGTGCTACACACTTTTGAACATGTGACCTCCAACTAACCAGACATCCATATATATATGTTACTCCTCCTGATGTGCTCCTTCATCTGTTCGTTGGGTCTGATGCCCAATTCACATCAGTATATGTAATGATATGTTGTCCCAAATGTTTGTTCATTCTGTCTCCAAAAGCTAGCTTGTACTTGCTGGTTTGATTGAGGTACTTTACCAAGTGTAGTGCTGCTTTCCATGCATTGCTTGTTGGGCTCAACATGTATCTTGCAAGTGCTCCTATGGTGAATGATATGTCGGGCTGTGCAGTGTTGGATACCCATAAAAGTTGTCCAACCAGTTCTTGGTACTGCTTTGCCACTAATGGGTCACACTTGTTGCCACCCATAATACCTGTTAGGCTCTGCATTGGTATCCATGACTTCTGATCAGTTGTTTGTAGCCATTTTCTCACCATAGCCTTAATATAAGCTGTCAAGTCGAGTGTCATCCTCTTTCGTACCCTGTCTTGGTCTATGCTTATACCTAAGAACTCCTTCATGGGTCCTTTATCCTCTGTTCCCCACTTTGCCATTATCTCATTTTTAGTGCGATCTACTTCTGTATGACTGGGTGACGCTATGAGCATGTCATCAACATATGCTGTGATGATTGTCATGCTATTGCCTGTTCCTCTTGAGTATAAGCATGGGGCACTTGGCATGCAGTGGAAACCTATTCTTTGTAGGTGTGAGTCTAGCTCTACATTCCATTCTCTACCTGATTGTTTTAAACCATATAGTCCTTTCACTAGTTTTAGGGCCTTTCCAGAGGAAACCTTCATCCCAAGTGGTGGTTTCAAGAAAATATCATGATGCAGCATTGAGTTCAAATATGCCTGCTTAACATCGACACAATCTACTTCCCAGTCTCATATGGTTGCCATAGCCAAAACTCCTCGAATTGACTGGATAGGTGCTACAGGAGCGAAGACCTCCATATAGTCAATACCCTCTCTTTGAGTAAAGCCCCATGCCACTAACCTCACTTTGAACTTGGTTGGGATTAAGTTCACATCCATCTTGATCTTTAATACCCAATGCATGTTGACAGTAGTCATGCCCTTTGGGAGATCGGCAACTTCCCACATGCCCATGGCTTTAAGTCCATCCAGCTCCTTACGCATCGCTTCCTCCCAGTGTTTCTTATCTTCTCCAGATAGTGCCTCACTAATGGTTGGATCCATGTTCTTCCTTTTGTTGTCACTGATCGCCGTAAATCCAGAAAGTTTATCATTATTCCATCTATCGGCAATGGGGTTGTGTTCAATTGTTTCCTTGGTAACTTCATTTGAGATCTGTTCCTGGTCTGTTTCATCGACATTCTCCATGTCCATGTATTCCTGCAATGGTTCCTTTTCCCTCTCATTGAAAAGGTTCTCATCTGTGTATCTTAGATCGTCGAAGTTTTCCTCGTTTGCTAGAGCTGGTGGTGACTGTGCAGTCACTGGTTGCCACTCTGTCCTGTCAGACCAGCACTTGGTCTCCATGAACCTTGCTGAATTACTCCAGAATATGTTTGGGCTGTAGAAGAGCCAACCTCTCCTTTCTAAACTATATCCTAGGAATATGGATGCTATGGCCCATTGGTTGGGCTTCTTATTATCTCTTTTAGCTTTAGGAATGTTTACCCATGATAAACATCCAAACACATGTAGAAGTTTCATAAGCCGTTTTGGTGATCTTCCAAACATAGCCTGATATGGGAGATCACCGTCTACACTTGGGGTGAGATTCATCTTGAATGCTGCAGCCCATATTGCATATGGCCAAAACCTTTTGGGCAATTGTCTCTGCATGAGTAGGGCCTGCATTCACTCCCCTAAACTCCTATTCATTCTTTCGACATGTCCATTCTGTCTGCTATCATAACCTACTGTCATTTGCCACTCTATGCCTTTGTCATGTGCCCATTCATGGGCATCGTTGCTCCTCCATTCAGTACCTTGATCAGACTGTATTGCTTTCAGGCTCTTTCCTGTCTGTGTTTCAAGGTATGCTACTATTGATTTTAGCTCCTTAAAAGCATGGCTCTTCCATAGTAGAGGTCATATGTATATGTACTTGCTGTAATCATCAACCAATACCAGAGTGCATGTGTGCTCTGTTGCATGTGATGAATCGACTATCAAGTCAATATGGATGAGATCAAGTGGAGAATGAGACCTCTCTCCGCCACCCTGGCCCATCCAAGCTGCCATACTTTTGGATCAGATGCATTGCTCACATGTCAAAGTGGCATTTGGGTTTAGGCTTACTGGGTGATCGCCTTTTAGATGATTAATGATAGCTCTTGTTTTGTCTCGGCCTGGATGCCCCAGACACTCATGCCATAATTGTTGTTTGGATATCTGGGGTTTGTTCTCAATTCACTCGAAATCATCATCAACACCTTCAAATAATGATGTTGATGTGATCATTGTGTTTTCCTGCCATGTATTGCCTTGGAACTCCAGAAGTCCTTGCTCACGATTCTTGATCATTTTGAGTAACATGCTGTTTGCTAGATATATTTGTCCTCCAGTTGAGTCTAGTGTCACTCGTGCTCCTTCATTTGTCAGGGAATTTGTTGACAACAAGTTAACATTGAGATGCTGGACATACAATACATTTTGAAGAAAGATATCTCCAGTGTTTGTTGATATGCTAGCATCTCCTATAGCAGTGGCTTCTAGAACCTCGCTTCCAGCAGTGAGTATGCGCTTTCGGCAGGTTTTCGGACCAATGAGCATGCTATAGTCATTTACCATGTGGTAGCTGGCGCCTGAGTCTAAGATCCAATGAGAGGTCTCTTTGGAGTCTATGGGCCTCTGCCAGCTAGGTGTGAAGGAGCACCAGACTTCCTATTTGGGCCTGGCAAAAGGAGAATTCTCTGGTATAGTCACCGATGCATTGCATTGACTGATCCCATGTCCAGGCCTCTTGCAGATCCAACATTGGAGCCTTCGGGGTCTTGCAGCGACTTTGGTGCTGGTGCTGTTGGTGTCCTTTTCATCCTTCTTGTCCTTTCTGGGTGGTTTGTCCTGGTCATCACTGCTGGCAACTCTGGCACTGGCTTGTCGGGGATCAACCCTCAGTGCGGGGTTGTTTTCAATCACTGATTGCCAGATAGATAGGGCAGTGGCGAGGGTGCTAAAACTGAGCTGGCTCATGGTGGTGACAGTCTCTTTGTACATTGGGTGTTGGATAGTACACTTTTGTAGATTAGAGAATAGAGTGTCATTGGCGAATGGCTTTCCCAGTAAGCTACTCTCCATTTGGATGGTCCTTATCTCTTGGATGAGCTTTCGTGCATCTGAATTGTACATCCTGAGCTCTCCTAGCTGAGCAATTAGTGCAATGTGATGAGATATGGCAGTAGCCTCATTGGTGAGTCCATTTTCAATCTTCTTCCATACATCATGGACCATATGGTTCTCCCTGATGATGTCAAGGATCAAGTAATTGATGTTGAACTCTCTGGTGGTGTCGATGGTGCTGCATAGTGCATTTGTTAAGGCATCATCAAACGTTCAGTTCCACTTCAGATGTTTCTTGTTGCACACTCCATTGAGGTGCTTCATAGCATAAGGAACACATCATAGGAAAGACTTGATATGGGCACTCCAACTATAATAGTTGTGGGATGTGAGTTTTGGGATGGGCTCAAGTAGTTTTGCTAGGGTATGAAAATTGTATTGTTTTCCATTGTTGTCGTGATCTGAGTTGGAATCAGTTTCTTCCTTGGCATTGTCGTTGATCACCTTGGTGTCTGACTTGTTGGTGGCCTCATTGTCAATGGCTCGCAGTTGCATTATCTTTCCCTTTCTTCCTCCTTTGGCCTTGCTTGTGATGGCTTGAGCTTCGGCCTCTTGTACCATGTTGTCGATAGGTCCCAGTTGGCTTAGTCGGGGGAGCTTCAGACTCTTAATCAATTGAAGATTGCAAGTAAAATGCCACCAATCAGAGCTACTAGCAAGCTCAACTTCACAGGTGTATAACTTCAAGAAAAATGCTTATAATTTCTATTTGTGTGTGCTACAACATGAACATGTATATATATTTGATCATCATCCTTAACACCTGCTATGTTGTAATGAACTCTTCTTTCATATGGCCCCTGTGTTGTTGCTTTCTGGTTGTTGCCTCTCCCTGAGTGTTATGGTTGCATCGTTTATATATCCCACATGCACATTGATGCATGTCGATATGCAACTCTGACTTACTATTATCTAACTTGAACTCCGCAGACCCCGTAATCCACGTTAGGATGCTGACGAATCTTCAACTAGGTGCCTCGTTGCCACCGATCCAAGGACATTCGGTTTCTCGAGGCCTTAGCTGTCTTGGAGGCCCTCCATGCCTTCTCCATGCTTTGGACCGGCCTCCGCCTTGTCGTCATCCATATCGACAACACCAACGTGGAATTTGGACTCCACACAGGGTCCTCGCGTGATCCTCTCACCCAAACCCTCCTCCGTGAGATCTTTGGCCTATGCTTTCTGCACCAAATCACCCTGTGGCTGGTCCATGTCCCTTCGAGCAACAACCTCTTGGCTGACCTTCTCTCTCGTCGTCGTTTTTGCACCATCCAGCACCACTTCCTACTCGCCCATCAGCTCATTTTCCCGCCCACCACTGCGAAGCCCCGGCAGCCTTCTGTCAGAGGTCGCGCGCCTGAAACCTGAGATCTGTAGTAAGACTGCTCCTATTACAGAACCTGTCAAGATATGTGATTGTATATGTAGTATTACAATTCTTGTTGAGTTATGCTGTAGTGATGTCCTTATGACTTTACTCACTCGAATCTGAGATTGGGGTTGTGCTATTGCAGATTTCAACTGACCACTGTGGACACTCCATTCAGAGGTAGCTCAGCATGATCAATAACAAGATGAACTGTACTGACACCAAGGTCTGGTGTGAGTATGAATGCTTGGTGGCATTGACATGAGTGTCCAGTGTGTCGACTTATTGCTTGAGGTGATCCCTGGACCACAGTGGACTACTGCCTTCAGTTCTATCTTGAATCTGGACTGCTGGTTGCTATGAACTGCCTTCAGATGTAAGTGAGTGGTGATACAACACATGTGCTACAATGAGAGGCAATCTACTTGATTGTGACTATGCTGACTGAAACTAATATGTACTTATGCTTGAAGTATAACTAGTTGATATGGTGTAGAGTGGATGGTGATCCACTCACTTGTTGTGACAAGGAGCATGGTTATATACCATGCCTGCAGCATTGTCCACAACACTGCCCCTCCTCCTCATCCCTCCTATCCATCCTTCTTTGAGCTAGGTGTCAATTCCCTCAACACTGCCCTTCCTCCTCATAACCTGTTTGCTGGTGTCCTTGTCACAGCTCTTCTTCCTCCCACTGGCAACAGTTCTCCTGGTCTTCATCTTGTGACCCCCTGAGTGGTAACCAGCTGCATGCTTCTGAGCTTGGTCCCCTTCTTGGCAACACTTGGTCCTCCTTCACATGTGAATTTCGCCATCTGATTGTCTTTGCCACTGATCTCTGTGGAATCTGCCACATGATCACTACTACTACTGATCTCAGCAGAATTCGTAATACTGCCCTTGTTCATGTGGATCTCACTGGGATCTGTCATAGCACTGTTTCTACCACAGATCTCAATGAACTCTGCTGCAAACCCCTTGATCTGCCCAATTCCGTGATTCCTGTGCTCCCTTCATATGAGTTGATGGGTCTTCTTACTTCTTGCGCATCCACGCCCATGACACCTTCATTGCAGCCACTGGTTGTTCACCCCTCGCCACCACCTACATCTGGCAGGGCCTTGCTGACTCCAGTCACAAATGCAGTGCAGGAGTGCCTGAATGCTACTTGTCCTTCATCCAACATCAGTTTGGGCCCAAGGTCCCCTTCCCAGCCTCCAATTTCTTCCTCACAGAATGGGTCTGTGACATGGCCCCATCTTGCCCCTACCACAGCCTCAAGCATGAGCTCGATGCCCTCCACTCCTGGCATGTTGACCTTGGTTTCCCCCTTGATGCCTTCTCTCATGGCTGCCTGGAGCAGGCAGTCTGTGGGATCAAATGCACTCATGGCCTTCAACCTGCAGCCTCCAAACTGCCTATCACCCTCCCTCTCCTCCAAGCCCTTCTTGAACAGGTCCAGCAGTCCACAACTCTTGGCACCTGGGACCACCAGGTCGTCATGGTGGCCTTCACCATCTCCTTTGCATGCTTCCTCCATTGCGGTGTGGTCACATGGGACCAGGTGTTGCCAACCCAGCTTCTGGTCAGCTCTGTCACCTGGTACAAGGACTATGCCATCCTCCTCCTCCCAGCCTCCAAGATGGACCCCTTCCACCTTGGAACCCCTCTTGTCATCCCCTGCATTGGTGGCTTGGAATGCCCCTTTACAGTGCTTTGCCTTCTCTGCCCCTCTGTCTGTGGCCCTGACACCCCCCTCTTTGGGCTGCATGACAGCTACAAGCTGCTCACTCATTCATGCTTCCTCCAGCACCTGTGCTCCACCCTCTCTCAACTTGGCCTTGACACATCCCAGTATGCTGGGCACTCCTTTTGGCAAGGGGCAGCTACCTGGGCAGCTTCACAGGGCATTGATGCTGACACCATAAAACTCCTCAGCCAGTGGAATTCTGATTGCTATCACCATTATGTCAACCATTCAGCAGCTGAGCACCACATGATGGTGGCCTCTGCCCTTTATGCCACCTGCCATGGCCCCCTTGTTCCACCTGGTGTTTCCTGGCAGGACCCTGTCCTCTAACTTGGTGGTGCCTCCAGCCCCTCTGCAGTGACTGCTGTCTGCTGCACAGGTGACACTGCAGCTGTTGGTGGGCTGGGAGCCTCCTTGTCGAGCTTCGAGGACCTCACGGGTCTTTGCCTGCAATTCACCTAAGGGGGTATCAAAGTTTTTGCGTTTTTAAAAACCCGGGTTTTTTCAAGAGCGTGTTTTTCAAAAAAACGCAAAAGCTTACATAAGCTCTGCAAAGGGAAAAAAAAAACCGCGTTTTCAAAAACGCAGCTCAGGAGGCACATTTGCAAAAATGCGGTTTTTTTTATCACTCCACATCTTCTCTCCTTTCCTCACTCTCATCACACTTTTGCTCACTCCCTCTTCCTTGCGCTCATTCAACATGACCTCTTCCACTGATGATTCTGGTGACATCTCTGCAGAGTTGTTATGCCAGTCCACTACACCTACAAGCTCTGCAACTCAGACCGAAAGCATGCCTGCACTGTCTCAATCTGGTTCTACAAGTGCTCCTGACATCCACACTTCCTGTCCAACTCAAGCCTCTAGATCTGCCACAGGCAAGAAGAACTTGACATGGTTGGGTGCCAATGTTCTTCACCTTGTCATGATCCTCTACAACAACAACTCCTACCAGTGCACTCTGCTGCCATCTCCAGAATCGGCTGAGAGCAATCCAGCCCTCAAACTTCGCAAACATCCCATTTTTTGGGATATCTCCAAGATGATTTTCCCAGGCACATCTGTTGATCCCAATCGCATCAAGTCCAAGCTGAGGTGGCTGCTAGAGACATACTACAGGGAGAAGAAGAAGCTTTCACCCACTGGAGCTGGTACACTGCTGGAGGACATGGATGCATCCAACCTGGTAAGTTTTGGTGATCTTCATTGCTTGCAATAGTATGCTTGGATGCTGATTCATACTTTCAATTTTAAACAGTCCTACGTATCTCGCATTGCCCTGTCAACAAAGTATGCTTGGTTTGAAAGGATGCACAAGATGATGAATGGCCAATTCAATGCTGATCCCACAGCACTTATCACAACTCCCAGTCTCAACTTCACCAGCGATGACAAGCCTGACATGCCTTCGAATGGCTCAGCTGACATACCCATGGATATTTGTGGCAGCGAGCTGTACAATCACAGCGCTCATGGCCGTGGTTTGCCTCCTATTCTTGACTTGATTGAACCCACAACCCCCCAGCTGCTGTTGCATCCACTTCTGGTGCATCCTTTGCTGGCACTGGTGATGATGACATCTTTAACACACCTTCGCCTCCACCTTTGCAGGCTCGACCACCTTCCTCCACTGCTGGCGGTTTGGATGTCTCTGATTCCACCTCTTCTCAATCTTCAGCCCAGCTCTCTCCCAGCACCAAGCACAAGCGAGGTGCCCTTGATCACAAGCGCAACACACTTGCTGAAGCTTTCTATCATTCTTCCATTGATACCCTTCAGATCTGCCTGCAGCTTGAACAGGAATGCACCAGACATGAGAAAATACTGGAGGCTGAGCATACCAAGCACGAGGAGATGTGCCTGCATCACGAGAGGGAGGAGAAAGAGTGCAATGAACATGTTTGTGCATGTGATTGTGAAATGGTGATGGAGATGGTGTGCCTCCTTGCTTCTCAGGCCAGCATCAAACAGGATGCTCGTCAGAACACCAGCAACAACAACAACATGGACTCTTCATTCAATCTTCCTGTCTTGTAGCATTACATGTACTATCATCCGGTCTCAATGCAAAGTCATTTCTGAGTGTTTTTCTGTAGAGTGCAAGTATGAGGTGAATAAAAATGATGCACAGCACAGTCACATAATGAGCTCAAAAGCATTTAAACAAAAATTTTCACTCTCACACCTCTTCCATTACTACCACCACTCCACTCTGCAACCTTTTGGCATCGCTCTTGCTGCCATCCCCCCTCTCCATCCCCCCTCTCCATGCTCCCTCTCCAACTCCCTTCCTCCTTCCAGCCATGGTGTGCTACAGCAACAAGCAAGTAATTCTCAATGACATTGTCTGTACTCTCAAGCTCTCTATACCTGTGGAGGTCATCCAAAACACCAACAGAGTGCAGCACTCCTGCAGCACTGACATCGACAACTTGGACAATGATGGCGACCCAATTCTGCTCTCATGACACCTTGTCTGCTTGTACACTTTCATATGCAAGCAAAGGTACACAATCACACATTGCACTCCTCTTGGCCGCACTGATAAGCTTATCCACCTTCTCAACAGGTACAAATCAAGCAATCATAGGATGTATTGTGGACTTGTTCATATGTCGCCTGAAGCATTCAACAATCTCGCCATCCAACTCCAGCAAACAGAGGCTTTCCAGTGGAACTACAGCAGCTCAGGTGTGATGTCTCTCAACAAAGTGCAAGAGATTCTTTCAGTGGCTCTGTACAGACTTGGCTGTTCTGGAAATGGAGGTGGTGAATGTGACACTGCTTTGCAATGTGGTTGTGGTGTTGGGAGCATTGTTGGATACACCAATCGCACAGTCGCTGGCCTCCTCGAGCTAAACAACAAGGTCATGCAGTTTGCTTCAGAGGGAGAGAGACAACATGCTTCTGCCTGGGTGCACAATACAACTGGGGTTGAAGAGTGGGGTAAGGGCTGGCTTGTGGTGGATGGCACACACATCCCTCTTGCCTGGAAGCCAGGAGTGCTCAGTCGAGAGCACTTCTGCTACAAAGGCTTCCACAGCATCAATGTAGCACTGGTGATCCTGCCACACTCACTGCAGATTGTCGAATCAGTTGTTGGACAGCCTGGCAGTGTTCAGGATTCGAAGGTTTGGGCCTCAGGCAGCAACATCCTGAAGAAGCCTCGCCTGTACCTTGATGACAGTGAGTTCATCTGGGTTGATGGTGGATATGGCCATTCTGCCTTCACAGTTGGACCATTCTCTCACATTGCTGCCGACAAGAGTCGAGACCTTCGACACTTCAACTACATGCTCTCTCGAGTCCAAGTACGAGTTGAACATGCCATTGCATACCTGAAGAACCACTTCCAGTGCCTTACAGGCTATCATGGTAACATCTACCATTTCAAGGACCACATCACTGCTGCCAAGACAATCCAAGCCTGCATTGTTGCCCACACCTTTGCAAGTCAATATGACTGTCCTGCTGATATTGCCGACCTGCTGTTGCCCTCTTTCTCTGAGGATGAGGTGAGTGAGGTTGTTCAAAGCCTCCAACTTGATGCCAGTGATACACAAGAGCTCAGGAGGACAAGACACACAAATCAGCAGGAATATGAACTGGATCTTGCCACTGCAACACAAGGAATGTCACAGTATGCAGTGTCAAGACTTCGAAGTTCTGCTGCACATGATCTTCAAGAGGGTTTGTTCCAGGCGCTGTTCAGATCCACTGGGCACAATGAGGAAGACACTACTGCATTGTCTCGACGTCATGAGAGGACTACTGTGGACTACATTGCCATGACTCAAAGCACATCAGCTCGGAGACAGGAGCAAGTCTTGACACAACCATTCTCAATCTGACAGGCACTCTCTCTTCTTCTGTTCAATACAATTCTTCTCACCACCATATGAAACATTACATTGAGTGCATTGTGTGAAGAGGAAAGCAAGATATAAGCAAGCAATGGGTAATAGCAATGAGAGCAACAAGTAACATGACCACTGTTAGGTTATGTATTTTATCGGCTGTATGATTTCATTGTGTTTTTGGAAACCTGCTTTTCCTTGGGGGGGGTTCAAATTCCCTCCAAAAACGCGCTCTCGAAAAAACCCGCGTTTTTAAAATCGCAAAAACTTTGATACCCCCTCTAGTTATTTTTCAAAGTTTTGTTATAGTCGGCTACGTTAGCTTTTGTCTCGTGCGATTGAGTCAAGACGGGATGCGAATTTACATGTGAAATTGTGGAGCAAAGTCAGGCCGAAATCCGAGAAGAGGTCCAAAATTTGGAAGCTTCAACTTGCTGCACCCTGGCTTGCCGCTACACATCCTCGCCACCTCAGCGACACCATCGAGAAACTAGCCCAGTCAGGCCGAGGTGATAGCGATGAGTTCAGTCTGATTCAAGATGTCGTCCAAGAACAAGCTCACAAAGGTATGCACTCCATTGCTCCCTGCTCCCCGCTCCCTCCTCCAAACCCAGACCTGCCGCTGACTCTTTCCATTCGCCTCACCGCCCTCGATCGCAGTTCAAATCCGCAGTAGCCGCCTCTTCCTCATCCACCCCGACCTCCTCTCGAAACTCCCCCCCCCCTTCCTCACCATCAATCACACCCCTCACAATTTCGCAACAGAACACCTGCCAAACAATCCACCAAGAACAACTCGCCAGACTCGCCAGCACAACACTTCCCAATCTGGCCTCTCTCCACTCACAACGGTTCCTCCGTCTAGCACGCTCACAAGTTGCCGCATCAGACACTTTGTGGACTACCCGTAAGCTTCAAGCTGTCACATACCGGTGCTCGTTATGGGCTGAAGATGTCGAGCCGGAACAGGAGGGAGGCAAGAGAAAGGAGGAGGCAAGAATTGTTTCCGATTTCTACTATAGACACAATCCGAGATGTGTGAGGTGCAGTTTGCCGCTCGTTGCTGGATTGAATCAGACTACAACACCGAATGGGAACAAGGAGAAGGCTTCAGGGTTGAGAGCAAAAGCTGGAAGAGGGACACATGGGACGACGCGCAAGCGCATATCAAGTTGCACACTCTGTCGTCACAAGACTCGGACCTAGCCCTCAGTATCTCATCTTTACATATACCCACTCACACATACCCAGCATGGAGTAAGGGATGCAACATCGAGCTTCATTATCGTCAGAATGCGAATGGAGCTCAAAATCAGAGTACAAGAGATTGCGGATCATGTAAAAGACAGTGTGATGGTTGAACGTCGAGCAGTCCGATTCATCCAGATGGAGCATCGTAAGGCCGCATCTGGAGAGGACCTCGCAAGAATCGTCATTGATGAAATGAGTGCGCGTCAACGCGTCATGGTATATACGCGAGCGTAGAAGGAGCAGTGCCGGAAATTGAAAAGAGAGTCGCTAATACAAGATGGTGAAACGAAAGGATCGAGCAGCCTTGGGCAGGACTGCTTTTGTGGGGTTTTCGAGCTACAGAGAGGGTGTGTGAAGCATAGTCGGAGCAGTTCGCTAGTATACAACACCTCCAGGCATCGATCTTGAGGGATTGCCGAGACCGACGAGCGCCAGTAGAGCATCGAGGACTGGGCCGATGTAGTCGTCGACAAAGTTGCTGCCGACAACTGCTTTCGGATAGCGACCGTCATAGTAGTAGTTCTGGATGGCGGTTGGAAGGTAGTTGAGTTTTCTGAACTCGTTTGCGTCAAGGGTCTGGTGGTTGATGTGGTAGATGTCGCGAGATGTGTTAAGCAGCAAGCCTAAGGCTAGACCGATGGCGAGGGGCATGGCCATGATGGATGTGCTTTTCGCAGTCAAAGCAGCGGAGAAAGACTCGACCAAGGTGTGCATCGATGTCGACAGGGTGGCCACCTTGGTGCGAGTAGAGGACGAGCTGTCTGTAGGAGCAGGCTCAATGGTACTGTCGACAGCAGGCTCTGCAACGGCTTGCTCTTCTGGTGCATCGGTCTGAATGGACTGTGTGACCATCACGACCGACTTACGCGCTTTGCCTACTCTTCTTCGTCGTCGCTGGATGACAGTCTCGATATAGTCATCGACGTTGCTGGTGTTGGCATCCTTGTCCTCGACCCGTGTCTCTTCTCCGGAGCTGTTGCCGTCCATTCCCATGCTTCGAGCGAGCTCGTTGCCCAGGCGCCTAGTGATGGTACCAGGATTACTGTGCTGCTGCATTGACGACTCTTTACTGTGCAAGCTGGTGAGCCGGCGAACCTCGTCAAGCTCCATTTCGAGCTTATCTACTGTGGTGCGGAGCTCCTCGGTCTCTTCCTTGTAGCCTTGAAGTTTGGTAGCTTCGGCTTGAACCTTTTCGAGCTCCTGACGCAACCGGATCTGCGTCTTCTCGGCTTCATCTTTGGCTTGCTCGCACTCGACCAGGTACTCGGACAGTTCCTTGGACTCTTTGACGCGACGATCGAGGTCAGCTTTCGCCTTGATCAGCTGGCTCGTCTCCTCTTCTAGATCCCTTCGAAGCCTGACATTGGCCTTCTCAGAAGTCTCGATCTGGGCGTTGAGTGCCGTCAACTGCGACTCGTAGGCATTATTCTGCTCCTGGAGCTCGTGCTGCTTAGTGCGGTTCTCTTTTTCTTCGCGGCGAAGCGTCTGAATTTGCTTGTGAAGCTCCTCGAGCTTGGCTTGTTCCTCCAACACCATTTCCTCGTACTGTTCTTGGGCGGTGGAGAGCTTGTGTTCGAGTGTGTTAACGCGCCTCTCCTTGTCAGAGAGGGTCTGCTGAAGGGCATCGTTCTTGTCACGCTCCATGCGCAGATCCTCTTTGAGATTGATAATGATGGCAGCTTCGGCACTCAACTCTCTAGAAGAGTCGCGACTGCCTTCCGTATCCCTGATGAGAAGCTCGTCCTGACTCAGGTCGGCAAGATCATCTGTAGCGGCTTGAGGTGTTGAGTCGTTGCCAGTGCTATGCGACAGTTCTCCGCCCATCAATGAAGGTGTGTGAGGTGCCATGTCGTCGGAGATGACGGATTGTGCGCTGGACTCCAAGGCGTGAATGAGGTCGACGAGCGTGCTGGAAGAGATGGGCACTTCTGGGTTCGCGTCTGCAAACACTTCAAGCTGGCTGAAGACCCTCGGATCGATGAGTGGATGCTCCCTTTGTCGCTCGAACTCGGACAGGATGGCTGGCAAGTTTCGACTGAGCAAAGTGGGCTCAGTCTCTTGGTGGGACCTGTCGTCCTCATCCTGCTGGGCCTGAAAGTCGGGAAGGAACTTGTCGAAAAGAGCCTCGACTTCTTGTCGGAGCTCTTCCTTCCTTTGCGGATCCTCAGAAGCTACTGACAGACCACTGTTGAGAAGCATGACGTTGGAGAGATGACTCGAGTCAGACTTTGGACCAGCAGAGATGTCACTGCGGGTGGAGAGAAAGCCACCATAGGAGGTTGCTGGGGTGTTGTCGATATCATCATCATCTTGTGATGAGCGCTCATGGTCGAAACCAGAAGATTGATGGCTTGATTCGGAGTCTGAACGACTATGGCTACCACGAGGTTTGAATTTGACTGCTTCCATGAGGCCCCTGGGCGGTGCTTCGGACAGCTCAAGCTTGGGATCGGACGAGTCTATGATTGTTTGGTTTGGAGCTGATGCTGCCTCGGCAGGCTCATTGCCTTTGGATACCATATTGGCGATAAGCAAAGTTGAAGCCAGATGTGAGAGTAGTAGGAAGGTGTCGATGCGGCGGAATCAAGCGTCGCTACAGCTTGAGCATCCTAGAGTGACTGTGGTACTGTGTTCACGCCATGCAGAGTCGAGAGGCGTATAGACAAAGAGAAGCGACGGATGTGTCGGTTGTCTAGTCTCGGGACCTGAGTTGCGGCGTATGTGGTGCTGTTATGAAATCGAGCTGCAAACACAACGCAACGTGTTGGCTTCCCAGCCTGGCTCACACGGCCGTAAGATGAGGGTCAGTCAGTTAATGTGGAAGACAATATGGAGGTCCTGTTAGATTGCAGGTCAGCAAGGTGGCTCGCTGGCTCAAAGGCTCCCAGCCTACCAGCTGAAGGTTGAGCCACCTGTGCAGCAGAGAATGTCTCAACAGGGATGGGGCCAACTGGAGAGGCTTAGGAAGAACCCACATCATGCCATGAGGCAGTATGCAGGATGAGTGGACCATCTCATAGACGGTAGAGGGCAGCAATGCAGAGGTCCTGATGGTCCACTGCTGAGCAGTCAATGTAGTGCCAGAAACAGTCAGAGTTCCATTGGCCAAGACACTGGATGGTATCAGCATTGGCACCAAGGCTGGCAGCCCAGGTGGCAGCACCTTGGTGGAAGGAGTGGCCAGCATAGGCCATGGGGGAGAGACCAGAAGCTGTGACTGCCTGTCAGAGCATGGAGATGAATGCAGAGTGAGAGAGGGGTGCAGACCCAGAGGGGCCAAGGCCAAAGAGGGGAAAGGAGGCCAGTCAGGAGAGCAAGGGTTTGAGGTTGGAGACAGGGCACTCAGGCCCACCCACAAGGGGTGCAACCACCTTGACACCAAGGCAGAAAGGGTCAGTCTTTGAGGCTGGGAGGGTGATGACTGCATGGTTGTGTGCCAAGGACATGCTGGCCACCCAGAGGATGACAGCCAGATTGGAAGAACTGTCCCACACAACCTCTCCAGAGCAGAGGAAGCAGGTGAAGGTGAGGGTAAAGGCAGCTTTGTAAACCTGTCGATTGTATGGCACCAGGTCACCAAAGTTGTCTCAGTATCGGCCTCGACGAGCTAGTTGTTCGGCGACTATCAAGTTGCGCGATGACAGCAGGTGGCATTCATTGTATATACTATTGTAGGTTTTGGCTGACCTCTGTGGACACTCTGTTCAGGGGTAGCTTGGCATGATCAATATCAATATGTTGGTTATGATGACACCAAGGTCTGGTGTGAGAGTCGATGATGATGAGGTTGATGGTGTTGGTGATAAGGTTGGTGGCATCAACACGAGTGTCCAGTGTGTTGACTGATGCTTGAAGTGATCCCTGGACTGCAGTGGACTACTGCCTTTGGTTCTATCTATATCCAGACCACTGGTTTGCTATGAACCACCTTTGGACATCAGGTAGTGGTGATACAACACATGCACTACAATGAGGAGCAACCTTGATAGATTGCTACTATGCTGACTGAAACTAATATATACTTATGCTGAAGTGATAACTAGTTATGATGGTTGTGTAGAGTGGATGAGGATCCACTTGACCTTTGATGATGAGAAAGCATGGTTATATACCTCTTCACAGTGTCGCCAGTGATGCTGCTCCTGCTCTCTCTCCAGAGAGTACCTTCTTCATCGAGTACTGTACAGGGGGCCCCTCTGGCACCACTCCTGTCCTCCTTGAGCTATCGACTCCTTCGACACTGCTCCTCCTCCTTGCTATGTACCCTTGTGCCTCTTGAGCTGTGTCGACTCCTTCGACACTGCTCCTTCTCCTTGCTATCCTGCTTGTTTGGCACCCCTGTGCCTCCTGAGTGGTGTCGACTCCTTTGACACTGCTCCTCCTCCTCAGGACCTCCTTGCCAGTTCCCTATACACTGCTCCTTCTCCTTTGACTGGTGATGGTTCCTTTGACTCTTGTCTCTCGAGCCCCTGAGTGGTAACCATCTGCATGCTCCTTGAGCTTGGTCCTCTTTGTGGCTGTGCCTGCTCCTTGAGCTTGGTCCTCCTTGTGGCTGTGCCTAGCCCTCCTCGCATATGGGCTCAATGCTCCTTTGCATGTGAGTCCATAGGAGTCCATGGTCTCCATGGAGACTGCACTACAACCATGCTCTCTACTGGTATCGACTAGATCTCTGATACCTGTGCTCCTTCCATATGAACCAGTGACCCTCCTGCTTCTTGAGCATTCAGGCCCATGACACATTCAGGCCCATGACAGGCTGATCTCTCATAAGTGTCAGACTGAGCAAAACACACAATGAGCAAGCTCGGAAGAAGAGCTTTCAATTGCAATGAGTCTCGGAGCCAACTAATACTTGAGCAGACCTCCATGCTTAGTAAGCACTTGCTCCATGTGATGCTCCATCAAGTCAATCACAGGGTTGATATGTTTGGGCATGATCTGGGTGTTCCACACTTCCTCTGCAGCTCTTGCAAGTTCATCCTGGGTTTTTGGTACCAGCAAGCACTTACCAAGCAAGTTTTTGAAAACATACCATATGTTCTCAAAAGGGTTAAGATCCAGCAAAGCCAGCAGGTGTTCCTGTGTTTTAATGTGGTATTCAGCCTGCCATTGCTTGCAGATAGCAGCCTGATGACAGCTGCTGCCATCTTTGACAAGTGACAGGCCATCAGGGTATGCACTAACAGCAGTTATGGTGTCCTGGAGTGGGCCATTGATGATCCAATCACAATATCAGACAGCTGTGAGGTTCTTGGCAGGATCCCATTGATTAGCCAACCCTGGCTGCTTCTTTCTTGGAGCCAATGGGAGCACAACCAATTGAGTTTTAAGGTTGAATGCAATGCTGGCCCATACCTGGATGCTGAAATGGCTGGAACAGAATGTTGGAACCATGTTGTCAATGTCTTCTCAAGTGTTTTTCTGGCGACTAACCCATGTGTGTCCAGGCCAGTAGCCAACCTTGACAGCTGCCTCATCTGTGAACAGCACACCCCTCCAAGCAGTGGTGCTGTTAGCCTTGGCCCATTCTAGATGTTTATGCTGGTTTTTGGCTGTCAGAAACAGCTTTTGAAGTGCAATCTGGCAGTTAATACTGGCCTGGTATGCTGCTTTCTGGAGCTGCATTATTGGGATGCTGCCAAGTGATGCTGACAGCTGTCACCATGATAGAAATGGGTTTTTGAGTACCTCACACTGAAAGTAGCAGTCCAAGGTAGCTGTCCAGGAGCACAGACAGCTGGATTGTGCTGTTGTTTCGAAGGAAACACACTCCTTAAAGTTATGGATGGTCTTGTGAACTGCTGTCTTGGAAACACCCCTTAGCTCCATGATTCATCGAATTGGCAGCTCAGTATCATGCATTGCAACAATTGAAGCACACTGCATTGGAGCAAGCTCATTGCAACAGACCATGTCAGTGCTTGAAGTGTTCTTGCTTAGTATGATGGTAGTGCTATTGCTCAATGATGACAACAACCCAAATGTGGGGTAACCAGCTAAATTGGGAAATTACCTGATTGTCCTCAAACTTCTGCACAGGGACTGTACATGTCAAATTCACGTAGGTCTCGGATTGGAAGTGGCCAATTTTGCTCTCGAAAATGGAGGGGGACTTGAGAGTTTCTGGACTCAAAATTGCTGAAACAGCCAAGTCCCCCTCTTAATCTCGAAATTTTGAGGCAGCAGCTCCAGTCAATTTTTGTTCAACACACACACACACACACACAACAAGCAGGCCAGTCATCCATAGATGTGGACCTTCACTATATCAAAGCACAACAACAACACTTGAATTGCAATGCAACATAGGATCACATGAAGGGTGGCATGGGTGGAAGGAAGGGTGGCATTGGCTGCCACCTGGGCAGTGGGGCTTGTCAGGTAAGGTACTTGAACTAGCAAAAGGCAGAGGTGGGGGTACCATTGACATAGGCACATAACCTGGAAAAGGCAACATTGACTGCAGAGGCCAGAAGCTTCTTTCAGATGCCAAGGTTGGTGTCAGCTGGACTGGCAGGTTCTCTTGATTGCTTGTTTGCTCTTTGCCTTTTGCTTGCTTCTTGCCCTTTCAAGCCCTTGTTCCTGAATCCTTCTGAGCCTGCTCTTCTCATGCTGCAAGTAGCCTTTGTAAGTCAATTTGGTGTAGTACCCTGGCCTGTGACAACTGATTCCTATCACCTGGGAGTGCATGTTGCTTCTTAGAGTGGGCTGCTGTGAGCTCTTGAATGTGGGCTTGATCATTTGCATGCTGGCCAAAGAGAAGGTCCATGAACTTACCTACCTTCTTCATCCAAATGCATCCTTGTCAGTGATTGCTTGCCAGAAGTGCCTGCTGTTCTTCTTGATCCCAATCCATGATGGCATACATCTGTGATAGCAACTTCTTTGCTTCCTCTGGAGTAGAAGAAGTTGTTGGAGTCTCATCAACTGCAGGAGCTGAAGATGGAGGAGTTGATTCTCTATGGTAGCTGGGCATGTGTCATAGGACCTTCTCTGGGTGGAGCTTTGAGTTGATCCCAACCTCCCTGAAGGCTTGTGATGCTAAGGTGCTTGTAATGACCTGTTGTGATTTGTGGTACATGTTGATGAAATCCTTCTTACTGATTGAAAGATTTGCTCCAGCAAACTTGTCAACCTCCTTGGTGAAGGCTTGCTGCAAAGGTCCAAATATCACGACATCAAGTAGTTGTAGGAGTTGTGTTGCAAGGGGAGGAAGGTGTCATGGGCCTGGATGCGCAGGAAGCAGGAAGATCTGTCGATTCATATGAAGGGAGCACAGGAATCGAGGGATTGGGCAGATCACAGGACTTGCAGAAGAGTTCACCAAGATCTGTAGAAGAAACAGCTCTATGGCAGATCTCACCTAGATCAGCACAAGCCAAGATGGTATCAAGAGTCCCTCCAGGATCTGTAGTAACCAAGATTGTATGACATGTTCTGCAGAGATGAGGGGCAAGGACAATCATACAACAGATCCAGTATAGATTAAGTGACGAGGACATTTGGGGTCACCACCA